TAAAAATTTGTTAGTGAACAATACTTCTGTGTTCTATATATATTCTATATGTATATATATATATATATATATATATATATATATATATATATATATATATATATATATATATATATATATATATATATATATATAAATATATATATTGATATATATTGATATATATATATATATATATATATATATATATATATATATAAATATATATATTGATATATATATATATATATATATATATATATATATATATATATATATATGTGTGTGTGTATGTGTGTGTGTGTGTGTGTGTGTGTGTGTGTGCGCGTGTGTGTGTTTGTATGTGTTTGTGTGTGTGTGGGTAGCGAAGGGAGTGATAGGGGTTAGGGTTCCCCTTCTCCACCAAAATTTGAAAGTCCTAAAGTATCTTAGAATTTTTTTTCTTTCTTTTATTGCAATAAATATATTTATATTTTGATGAAGAGGTACTACACCAGACCCTTCTATCCTAAAAAAAATAATAAACACAGAAGCTATAGACAAAGCAGCAATTGTGTCTTTGAAAGTTACTTTGTTATGCCGTCTTTGAAAGCATTGATTGGTGGAGCATTCACTGCTGCTTGAGAAAGCGCATTCCATGAGACAATAACTCTATTTGAAAAGAAGTTTGCTGTTTTTCATAACTTTGTACTAGCTAGCGTTCTAGTTTTTAGTTATTCCGCCTGAAAATATACTTGGCTTTACTGTTTGAAAGTTTTTGCTGGACAAAAAAACTGACAAGTTTGAGTTGACGCATGATTTTAAATTGCTTGATAAGGTCTGCTCTTTTACAACGTTCTTTAAGTATTGCGAGACCACGCTAATGGAGTCGATTTTCATATGACAGGTGTTCAATTAATATTGTTTTTGTTGCTCGATGTTGGACTTGCTTGAGGGTAGCTTGGACTTTGAATGTAGCAACCACAGCAAATTCAAACTTTTACATTGGCTTGCATCAATTCTTAATATTTTGAAAATAAATTTTTCAGATGATGTGCATTTTGCAACTCTCTCTTTAAACTTTATATGTTCATAAGTTTTAAACACTAAAAGATTGTTTTAACTTATTCGAGAAAAGTAAAAGAAAATATTTTATGAACTTGTGGCTCTCACGTTTGGGGCAGAGGGAAAATATTTTAGAGCTTTTTGTTCCCAGGTTTCAATCATTGCAAATTTTTAAAAGCATTTTTACTTGAAATAAGTATAAACATACTTGGAGTTTGCTCAATGTCTGGAAGTAATCTCAAACACCAAAAAAATTCTGGATCCGCACCTGAAATGATGAGAACACAGCTCACAGATTTTTTTATGAAGTCAAAGTTAAGAGGTGAGATTTCGGGTTTAGACGTCAATCTTATTAAAAGTTTCAGTATTTTATTACACTATTCTTAAGCTATGATATTATTTATTACGAATTTGAAAAGCTTTGTTCTGAAATAAAATATCTTTATCTTAATCAATATCAGTGTTACTATATGCCTGTAACTGTACACAAAACACATACAAATTATCGAATAGCAACTATTGGAAGTTGCTAAATAATAATTTTTTGGAAAATCTAAGAAACCCTTAATAAAGACTTTCATTGATTCCGCGAGAATGTTATTAGAAAAAAACTCACGTCCTTATACTAATATAGATTTTCTCAATATGCTTTTTGTAATTTCAGATGTTGTTATCAACTCACAAAGAGAACTGTTAAGTAAGAAAACCGGGAAAATACTGCTGAAAGTTTAGAATTCAATTATCTCACCAGTAATACCACCTCACCAGATTAGCAATTAAATTATATGTCATGATGAAAAAGATTAAAACATTGGATAGTGAATATAAAAATTATCCAATATGAGTGTAAGGAATATTTTACTATTTTACGCAAATTTTTTTTATATAATTTATGAGGTGTTGAAATAAAGTATTTATTTTTTATTATGTATTTAATATTTTCAATATTAAAATTACAGTGATTAGTGGAATCAAGAGATGAGATTGAGAAAAAGTTCAAACCAAAAAATTCAATTCTTTGTCTTTAGGTGAGATAAAAAACTCTGAATCATACAAGAGAGGTGGAATAATAGATTTGCCATTGTTGTAGACACTGTTAAAGATTCACCAGATGTCTCTGTAGTCTAACTTTTGAGATAAAATACGATATTTTGTGACCTGAGAATAGTGGGCTTTGGTGTTAGACAAAACATTTTTACAATGGTTTTTAGCAATTGTAAACAGGTTTTTGTTTTCTGATGAATAGTTTGGCTCAATTATTCAGTTCAATAGTTCAAACAATACTTCAGAAAACAGACACTTGTTTACTATTATTAGAAATCATAGTAAAAAAGTTTTGTAAAACGCCAAAGCCCGATAATCTCAGGTCACAAAATCTCGTATTTCATTTCAAAAATTAGGCTCCAGAAACTTCTGGAGAATCTTTAACAGGGTCTATAATAAGGGAAAATTTATTATTTCACCTCTTTTGCATGGTTCAGATTTTGTTACCTCACCTAATGACAAGTCAAATTAAGATCTGTATGCTAAAAAATTTTCATCTTCTTCATCAACTTCAACTTTTGCCTTTCTCAATCTCTGAAGCAAATAGTCAACTTTCTAACTCGCTTTTTGGACAATCCGAAACATTTATCTTCTCTACTCGACTTGTGTTTTTTTTCGATCCTAGTCAGTGCTCAGTTTCTCCACATCCACCCATAGGTGCTTCTGATTACGGTTTGATTTCTTTAAAACTATTATCTTTTTTTTATTCATTTACAGAATCCCTCTATTATTGTATCCCTTTCACAACTACCATAAAGCTGACTGGGACTCTTTCCGTAATTTTCTTTGTGATGACACTTGGGTAGAAATCTTTTGTTTTCTTGCAGACAAATGTGCTTCTTATAAAACTTCTTAACTTCAGACTGGCATGAAATATTTTATTCTCTCTCGACGATTCCAATTCAAGTCTTAATTTCTTTAAAAAATTTTGTTTTCCTTTTATTGTGCTGCTGTAATTTCCAACTGTATACAATAGGAAATTACAGCAGCACAATCATAGGAAAACCACGGAGAAGTGACTTGAATTGGAATAGTCGAGACGGAGTAAAAGATTTTCAATAACGGTCTTGTTATTGAGTATTGCGAAAGAGTATTTAACTAGGAAATTTACGCCCCCTTTTTTATCAATGACGCAAAATAATTCCAAAGCTCCTTCAAACCCTGGATCTCCTGCTTCTAAAACAAGGCTCTAACCACTACGTCGCGGCCGCCTAAAACAAAACTATTTAAAATACGGAAGCATTAAAAATAAAGTTATTTAGAAATTATCAATTAACAATGGTGACAGTTTGAAAAAGCGTATATAATCAAACTTGAACATGAACTAAAACTATTTTGGACCGCAAAACTTGTTGGAACTATTAAGCACCATTCTACAAAAATCCAAACTTGCTTTTTTCAGCAATTACAAAAGAAAAAAAAAAAAAAAAAAAAGTTTTAGATCGACAGAAATTTTTTATTTATTTTTTTGTCATTTAGGCGCCCCAAGAAGATTTAACGGTCTTGTCACAGAACACCGCGGAAGTGCATTTAACTAGGAAGTTTACGCCTCCTTTCTTACCGTGACGCGAAAGTATGTCCAGAGTTCGTTTCGAATCTAGATCTCCTGCTTATAAAGCAAGCGCTCTAACTACTGCGGCACGGCCGCTAAAATTATGAATTTGGCCGCTAAATCATCAATTAAGAATTTCGAGTTTATATAGGTTTGGTGAGGGTGTTAAGCCTTAAAAATAATAGTAAAAGGAAATCCTACATGTTTACATTATTGGATATTCACCTTGTTGGATTCACCTAATCCAGATTCACCTATTGGGAGCTTTTTTTTTTATTATTTGAAACTTGAATATTACTTAACAGAAACATAAATGCTTTTAATTCCTTAACAAAGATTTTTTCATCAAACAATCAAAAAAAAATTAAAGAAATTTTTGAAATTATTATAAAGAATTCTGTATAGAAAAGTTTTAATATTAAAAAACAGTCAGAAAATGTATTAAGTTAAAACTGTTAATAAGAGCTTTGTTAGAAAATGTAGATAAAAAATCGTTCAATAAAAAACTCAATTCAACAAAAAGATGTGCTAAAATTTGGAGACGCTATTTTAGTATTTCATATTACATACTTGCATAGTCTTATTATTCATAGATACACTGGTGGCATTGCATAATAATATTTATTATAATAAATTAAATAAAAAAAAAAAATAACGAGTGTTTAATTAATTTACCATGTGATTTTATAATTGAAAAATAATTTAAATGAATATTATGGTTATATATGATAAGTTCTTAAAAAAGTTAACTATATTATAGCACATTGACCGTTGAATATGTGAGATTTATTAATTTTAGGATCCAAAGTATATGACATAAGTGTTGAAATGTTTTTGATTAAAACTAATAGTTTAAGACTATGGCTTTTAAAAGGAAACACGTTTATAACATTGCATTCAAACAGAAGATATATAATGATAATAATAAGTTTTTTAAAATTTGATTATACCATGGTTTTAAACACCTCATTTTAAGATTGTACATTATATTTGATTACTATCTTTATTAAAACTGCAAAGTTTGTAGCACAACTTTGTTATCGTGTAAAATTTATAAATTATAATTTACTATAATATTTTGTTTTGAAAGTTATATTATATCTTATATAGAAAACTTATTCATATCGGAGGGAGTATCTTATAGTGTTTATATACTTGAGATTTATGCCTTAAGTCAATTTGTATAAATTGACTAAGGGCTTTTGTTTAAGCATAAATAATTTTGATATGATTTGGTAAATGTTTAATGCATCCATTTAGTTTACTAAACTAGGTGTGTTGAAATTAAAAATAATAATAATAAAAATGACAAGCATGGATAAATTTATCTATATATAACATTTATATATAAAAAGGAGATAACAAATAAAAACTACCTTTATTTGTAAGTATTTTTTACTTTTTATTTTACTCTGTTTTTTTAAAAATTAAAGTTAAAATGCATCTTTAAAATTGTATTATAAATATAACAAATATACTATTATCCTATTGTATAGTAATAAAACTTGTACACAGTAATTGCAAATAAAAACTAATTATAAATTGCAAATAAACTAATTATAAAGGACAGACACCAAATAACACACCAGATAGTACATCAAATAACACATATTTAACAAAAACTATTATAATTCGTCTTTCTTCTCATTTTGGTTTTTTGTTGCTTGCGATCCAGCCTCTTCTAAGCTTGGTTCCCAGGTTTCCATTTTCTTTAATGTTTTATCCATAGCACGGTTAACTAAATACGAAATAAATATGAGGAAAAACTAAAGAAGTTTTATTTCCGCAAAAAATTATGAATATTTATTTATATTATTCACGCTGAATGAATCGAAATCACACTTTAAATGTTATTAATATTTCTAAATTTAACAGTAAATTAAATCTAAAAAATATTAATTTAAATTAAAATATTAATTTAAATTAAAATATTAATTTAGATTAATTAAATTAAAATAGACTATTTAATTAAAATTAATTATAATTAATTATAAAAAAAATATAATTTTTGTAAAAAACTTACTACTGATCATTTCATAGTAATAAAATTTGTTGTCCATGTAGTTAGTTCCAAGATTCCAAATGTCTTTAAATATTTTTCCTTGTGGATCTAATTAAATAAATTTTAAAAATAACTAACCAAAGCTAAATATTTTTATAACTTGTTGTAACCAATAGAAACCTTTAAAAATATCTTAGAGTGTTACTTATAACTATTCTCTAGAGATTATATATTTTTATATAACAAATCTAATATATATGTATATATATAATATGTATATATACATATATATCAGATTTGTTATATAAAAATATATTATATTATATACATAATATATATATATATATATATACATATTATATATATATAAACATATATATATATATAATGTATATTATATATATGTATATATATAATATATATTATATATATATATATATATATATATATATATATATATATATATATATATTATATATATATATATATATATATATATATATATATATATATATATATATATATATATATATATATATATATATATATATATATATATATATATATATGTATATAAATAAATATATATATATATATATATATATATATATATATATATATATATGTATATATATATATATATATATGTATATATATAAATATATATATATATATATATATATATATATATATATATATATATATATATATATATATATATATATATATATATATATATATATATATATATATATATATATATATATATATATATATATATATATAAGAAATGCGCATGATGGTATCTTGTTGCCCTCATGCAGCATCTGATTTGTCTTAAAAAAAGGATGATCTTGTAAGGTAGGTGGTGAGAGTGTCAGTGTGATTAAAGGTGCAAGATTGAAAGTTTGGTAAGTTAATACGGGTTCTATGCTAGGAAAAAGTGGAGAGATTGCTAAAATGGGAGGTAGGAGAAGTCCAGACATAAAATCAATATGGTAATGCTTTGAAATTAAAAGATACTTTGTAAAAATTGAGAGGCTGAAGTGGAGACATATTTATGATGTTTACAAAAAAGGATCAAAATTGTATAACAAAAAGATAGATTGAAATAAAGGTCACTGCTATACCATCAGTAAACTGTACTGTCAGTAAACAAAGTTAGTGATCAGCATAGCTGACAACATGTAGGAAAATGAAATCAGCTTTTCAGAAAGCTGAGTTAGGAAAGGTTGCTAGTCTTTTTGATATATTGGCTGAAATATTAGACTTTATTCAAGGTTTTTTTTTAATCAAAATTCCAGATGATTGGAAAAAAAGTTGGTAAAGATTTATAAACGAGGCAGAGATACACACAAGAGACACACTAGGATATAGTTTATACCAAAATTTTAGTCGTTGAAGGAAATTATAAGTGTAAAAGAGGCCAGTATATATATTTGAGAGAAAAGACATTTGTAATTGTTTAGAAATATTATTATGGTCTGAAATGAGATTTTTGTCTATTAATTTCGCTTGATATTATGATTTATTTTTTTATATTTTGTGATTTTTTTAAATCACAAACTAAACAATGTCAATAATAAAATGTTTTATATTAGATGATCTTTATACACAATGAGATTAACAAAGTAACATATTTTGGAAAAAAATAATGCAAACAAAATAAGAAGTAGAATATTTAACAATAATTAGGCAATAAATGATCAATGCCTTTTGGTATTAGGAAAAGACAGGGAACAACAGATGCAATATTTTATATATGACAAATTAAAGAAAAATATTTGCAAATCCGTGAAATCAGTGGATGGTATTTTTTCACATGAAAAAAATGTTAACAAATACTTTGAGGTAGCTTGATGGGTTTTAAGAAAATTAGGTGTTAAAAAATGGCTGGGAAAGGTTGTCATAGCTATGTATGAAAATGTCACAACAACAATCAAAACAAAAAAGTGATACTTTTAAAGTAAATGTTGGTGTGCAATAGGTTTCAGTGTCCTTTGCTTTTTATTGTTGTTTTGGATGCTCTCTCTAAAACATTCAGTGTTAGTTTACCATGGGTGCTATTCTATGCAAATGGTTTATTCTTGAGAAACAGAAGAAAAAAAATAACACTAAGATTTCAGATTAAGTTTACATTTGTTGAATACAGAGAAGTCAAAAGAAGTGATTAAAATAAAAATAAAACAAAAGTGGGAAAATCAGAGTGAAAAGAATGGTGTGGAGTCATGGTGAAGAGTATGGTGAAGACATCATGGTGAAGAGTATGGTGTGTCTAGTGACATCATGGTGAAGAGTATGGTGTGTCTAGTGACATCATGGTGAAGAGTATGGTGTGTCTAGTGACATCATGGCCAAGAGTATGGTGTGACTAGACGAACTATTTAAATTATCGATAACTATTAAACGATCATAAAAAGATACCTAAAAAGTATATTCGTGGAACATAACCTCCATCAACATCATAAGAGTCAGCTTTTACATCATCTATGTCATCCTATAAAGAAATTAAACATTTCATAAATATGTAATTAATATGTAATAACAATGTATAATTAATATAATAGTATATATAACAATATAATAGGTTCAAAAAAGTAAAAATGTTTGAAAAATATATATTTTAAATTAAAATGTATTTCAGTCTTTACTATAGTTGGATACTTTACAAAAAAATATTTGTAGGTCATGCTAAACTTCTGTCAACATTAAAAAAATATACAAAAAATACATATATACAAAAAATATACAAAAAAACATAAGAAAAAATTGTTAGGGCATGATAAGCTTCTGTCAGCATTACAAAAATTTTGTTAGGGTATGTTAAATCGCTATCAACATTACAAAAACATTTCTAGGGTAAGTTAAACTTAGAAAAAAAGGAAATTTATTTAAGAGAAAAAAAAAAAAAAAAAAAAATTAAACGTTCAAAACTTGTTTATAATTTATAATTTAAGAAGCCTTTGTTTAATAAATAATTTTTTTTTAATAATAATTTTTCTTAAGTGATCAATAATAAAAAGCTTTTAACACCACAAAAAATTCAACAAACTAAAATATTGTTTACATGTCTTGATAGAGGAAGTTTTTTTTCTGTATATGGATTTATTTTTACATTATGAAATTTTTTAATACTTTTTGTTTAAGTGAAAGTGACAAACTTAAAAGAGTGGCCAAAAATACACTGACTTACTCTAGTATAATATAATATATAAACATTTATTTATATATACATATTTGTATATAAACATATATGTATATAAAGTGCTTTCAAAATAGAGTTCATTTTCTTTTTTACAAAATAAAAACCCATCCATATTTCCTAAAGACTAAATTTTTTTTGAAGGACAAGTAAAATTGTTTCTCTACAACTAACATGTCAAAAGTTCATATTTAGTTACTTTTTTAAATAATTTTCTTTTTTCTAGGTAATACAGAAAACATACTGGAAAAGATAGTAAAAAAAAATAGGCAAACAAACATTAAAATTGATTTCTGTTCTACTTTCTTGTCAACCCAACTGTTATTCATATAATTTATATGCTAGTTTGATTTATTCATATAAAAGGTAGGATAAAATTACTTATGATGACCAGTTGGGTCAAAAAGCAAAAAGCGAAGCGACAAAGTGTCAATTAATAGATATGAAGAATGGTTCAATGATTAGTATTAGAATAATAGCTTGACTGTAGTAGCCTTCATGGCCTTGGGGAGGTGAAATAACAACAAAGTCACTTGTATCTACATGTTTAGATAAGCATATGATTACTAGTTTTGAAGATTCATGAGAATCAACTAGTAATCATCATTTTTAAAAACAATATAACAATATATAACCCTAACCCTGACCCTAACCCTAACCCTGACCCTATGCACTGAAGCCCCTGGCAGCAGGCTATATCAGTGTGATGTCACAGTGCTTATCAAACAATACCTTTATAGTTGTATATAATATATACACATACATATGTATACTATATATATCAACCCTTGGAATTAGAAAAAATGAAGTCGGCAATAATTTGCCGACCTTAATCTTTTTGAGGTCAGCAAAAATTATTTGATACAAAGGTCTGAGAAAAGAAACGAGGTTAGCAATTTTTTGCCGACCTCAAGCACTTTCAGGTCGGTAGTTAGGTCGACATTGCCGAATGCCAACCTAATTCTGAGGGTTAATATATATATATATATATATATATATATATATATATATATATATATATATATATATATATCGAGGGTTAATATATAATATATATATATAAAGGTCGACATTGCCGAATGCCAACCTAATTCTGAGGGTTAATATATATATATATATATATATATATATATATATATATATATATATATATATATATATATATATATATATATATATATATATATATATATATATATATAGGTGTATGTACTGAAGCTCCAACAGATGGGTGTTTCATTTTGAAACTGTCAGTAGGAATGTGCAGCAAGTAAATTACCTCAATATCAGCCAAGATAAAATGTTCTAGCTTTCCTTTAAATTCTTCATCACGTGTTATCATTTTTAAAACAGCTAAAATTTATATAAACGTGTAAAAAAATGCTGTAATAATTCATTACAATAATAGTAAAACAATAATAATATAGTTATAACAATATTACACATTAATATAATACAATAATATTTGTAAAGTTTTAAAAATATATTTTAATTCTAATAAATTTATCTTAAAAAACCTTCCTCTATTTTTTGGGAAGGGATGGGGATGGGGGGAGGTTAAGTTGGTATTATTTTCTGATGAAATTAATATTTAATTTGATTGGCAATAAAATGTTACACTACATAAAAGTGTAACATGATGATTTTAAAAAATGGAACAACAAAATACTAAGCGATAGAATACATTACAAATCATTTTAATAACCAATATGAATGATTTATAATCAAAATTAAGTACCTTGTACTTAAAATTATTACTTTTTTTACTAAAAATATTCTGAGGTGCCATGCAAGAAAACTTGAAGGATTATGAGGGAAAGGAGGAAACAGATGAAAAATTGTAGGTTCTATGAGTCAGGAAAACATGAAAATGGGAGAGACTTTATTTCTTTGGAACTCTCTCCCATCTGACTTGAAACCTACAACCTACAACTTTTAAAATCAAGTGCTTCCTTGCTCTTTAACTCTATTCTTTGTTTTCTAGTAATGACAAAAAAACTAATGACATTAAAACTATTGAAAAACAAAACTTTGGTGATTAAAAAATTATAATATAATGTAATGGCTAAAAAGATTTGACCATTTAATATGTATAGCAAAAAAACATTTTTTTTAGTCCTTCACAGCAAAACAGCATATTTAGGTAATTCTTGTTTTTTCACAGAACTTTCCTGATACCATCTGTTGACTTGTGATAATTTGATATCATGAACAGTTGTCTCATACATCTTGCAAACATGCAGCAATAATTTGTTCAGAATTTTCCATTAAAAATTATAAATCTTTTTGTATTTATTATTAAATAATTTTTTACATTCGTTATCTCACAGACTTTTCCATAAAAGTAAAAAATCTGAGACATGAATGTAGAAAATTATGTTGTATAAATGTTCAGAATTGTTTAGTGAAAATCCAGATTAGACATATATTTATTTATATATATATATATATATATATATATATATATATATATATATATATATATATATATATATATATATATATATATATATATACACACACACACATATATATATACTAAGGTTTTGTTTTATATTTTATCATATATTTAAACTGCCTGTTGCCAGTTTGTTTTTAATTCTAATTTTAAAAATGTTTAAATATATATATATATATATATATATATATATATATATATATATATATATATATATATATATATATATATATATATATATATATATATATATATATATACATATACATATACATATATACATATACATATATAATATATATATATATATATATATATATATATATATATATATATATATATATATATATATATATATATATATATATATATATATATATATATATATAATTTTAATTATAGAAGGCAACATTGCTGCAAACGTATGTAAATGTATGGTCAAACCATAAAATAAATTAATAACTTTTAGAATGTAAGTTAAAAATAGCATGTTTAAAGCACAGTTAAACTATTAACAAAATTATTTTCAATTTTTTGTTTCACTTCTTTATATAACTTGAACTCTTAACGGTGTTTTTTCAATAAACACTAACCTTTGCATGAAGGACACGTAGTTCTATGTATAATAAACATAATTGGCTTCTTCCTAAAAAATTAACCAATGAAGATCAATCAAAAAAATCGATCAAAAAATAAAAAAGTAACACATTTGAATTAGCATATATCGATCATTATTTAAAATAAACAAAATGTTAATAACTAACGTTTTCTTGGACATTTCAAGTGCTTCATCAATTGTTACTGAAGTTAATCCTCCTTCAACCAAGATGCGTTTACCCATAGTCAAATTTGTTGTATCTATTGAGCTACCTTCAGTTATTACTGCAATAAAATGAATGTTCAAAAGTATCAAAACATTACTAATATATCATTATAATAATTTAGTCTTTTAGTTACGATATTAAAACTAATATCATAATTAAAAAAATAATATTATAATACAATTATCATAAATTATTACAACACTATATATATATATATATATATATATATATATTATTAAAAATATATATATATATTTTTTATTATATATATATATATATATATATATATATATATATATATATATATTATTAAAAATATATATATATATATTTTTTATTATATATATATATATATATATATATATATATATATATATATATATATATATGTATATATATTATATATATATATATATATATATATATATATATATCTTTTTTTTTTTATTAAAAAGTTTAATTTTTTTTTAAATTCAAATATGAAAGTTTAAAACCTTTTTGATCTTCTGTTGGAAGAGCATAAGTTGATAACTTTGCAATAGCAAATCGCATTGAGTTTATGACTAAAAAAAAACACAAATATTTTGATGATTATAAAAAGTAAAAATTCTTTAAAGATTATTGTAAAAATAAGTTTTTTCTTTTGCTGTATTAAATATCTTTCATATATAGATACAGTATTTTTTTAAATTAATTTACTCCCAACAAGGCTGCAAGCACCTACTATTTAAGTCAGGAGTTAGCAGAAAACAAAGAATATTGTTCAAGGGAAAGAAAATGGTTGACAGAAGACTTTAAATACTATAAGTTATATGAGTACTTTAATTCAGATAAAACTCAATTTTTTTCAGCCAATCGTTATCGCAATAATTTAGACCTTCTTATATTTATGAACAGTAATGTACTCGATGAGTCTCCTACCCTTCATCTTCTAGGATTAAATCTTACTTCTGATCTTTCTTGGAAACCTTATATCAAATCTGTTGCAAAATCAGCATCTGCTAAAGTCCCTTCTCTTTATCGAGCTCGTCACTTTCTTACTCTAGATTCTATTCTTTATCTCTATAAATCTCAAATCCGGCCTTGTATGGAATACTGTTGCCATATCTGGGGTGGATCTTCTAATGATGCCCTTTCTCTTTTAGACAAGGTGCAAAAACGCATTGTAAACATAGTTGGACCTGCTCTTGCAGCCAACCTTCAACCTCTGTCACATCGTCGTAATGTTGCTTCTCTTTCTCTTTTCTACAAATACTATAATGGGCACTGCTCTAAAGAGCTAGCTTCTCTTGTGCCATCTACTAAAATTCATTCTCGTAGCATGCAGGAGTGATACAGTTAAAGGATGCAACTTTGCTGAAAGAAAAGTCAAACAAGAATGAATTTTGGTTAATGGAACTAGAGATGAAAGCTTGTTTGAGTAGTGATGATGATAGTATTTGTAGAAAAAAAAGAAAAGAGATGCAACCTTTGAACAATGGAATAGCAGTCTAAGCTTGGCAGAAAGAGGTCCAACTTTACAACAGGTTTTTGAATTTTGTCGAGAAGGATAAGAGAATCTTTAAAAGAACCAACCCAAATATGATAATAGTATTTCATGCAGGGGAAAATGAGTAGTTTGCAGAGGTAGATAATGTAATTAATGTAGAGGTAATTAAAGATACTGGAGATAATGGAATTAGGAATAAAAAAATGATAAGCACAATAAAGAGAGACAACCTCAGCAGCTACTAACTTTGCAATTGATCGTATATATGTTTTCTATGAGAAGTCAGTAGCAAAAAACTGGAAGATTCAGTGTAGAGGAAATGTTGAATGACTCTTAACAAGTATTGTCATTCAACGATATAAGGGAGACCAGCAGTATTTTGATAACTGTTTAATGTAAGCAACTTTTGCTTGAGTTAAAATTTACAAGTCACTAGGCAGAGGAGAAATAATTACAGATATGCCTGATTAAATTCGAACCCACAGTCAGTGTGAAATCTGAAATCTCTTGCTATAGCCATTTTAGTATGACATCATGAGTAATATTCATAGCAATCTTAATCTCCAGTTTAACTTTGATTTTTATATATTATAAAATCCAATTAAGCTTAAAGAAGAGTTTAGAAAGAGTTTAAAAAGAGTTGTAAGCAAAAGATGAAAAGATATCTTAAAACTTTTTTTTAAAACAAAATGTCTAATTGAATTTTTATGAAGATAAACAAATATATTAAAACTTATTATACAATAGTATATATTGTATACATGTATTCTTTAATAAAAAATTTCAAATAGAAAAAAGATATATAATTAAAATTTATATAGAAGAATGCATAATATATATATATATATATATATATATATATATATATATATATATATATATATATATATATATATATATATATATATATATATATATATATATATATATATATATATATATATATATATATATATATATATTATTGAAGGCATTGATATAATTTTATAAATAATTTATTTTACTAATAATTTAATTTATAAAAAAAAAAAAATAGTAAAAAAGTATGTACTTTGTTCTTCTTCTTGATAAGAAAACTTGTATTTCAAGAATGCAGGATCTCTATTATGCAAATCATGATGTACCTTGCCAGTGTAATCTTTGTAAAATAATTTTTGTTTTTATTGTAATACAATATATTTTGCATAAAAAATTTATTTAAAAAGGTTTTTTCCTAAGAAATAAAAAATTAGTAAAAAAATATGAAAAAACAACATACCTAGGAAAAATATTCTTGGATAATATCCACCATCAATAAAAAATTGATTGTCTAGTGGTTCTTCTTCATCCTAATAAATTTACAGCTAATATTATAAAATTTTATAATCCAAAAAACTAGAAATATTTTGTTATATTTAGTGATGTTAATTCTATAAATAATAATAATAATAGAAGTTAATAAAAGTAAATAAAAATGATAAATAGATGTAACGAAGGTGTATTGGATGTGTAACGGAGGTGTATTGTTTGTGTAACAGATGTGTATTGGATGTTTAACGGAGGTGTATTGGTTGTGTAACGGAGGTTTATTAAGAGGTTTAGTTTAATCACTTTCTATTTATATTTTATAAACAACTTTTAATAAACGTTTCAAGAAACTTTTACAAATGATCTTTATTACTTATAACTTCCCATTTGAAATAATCAGAACTTGAAAAAAACGAAACTTCCAACATATAGGAGTTTAATCTTTGCCTTTTTGATATAAGCATTTTGCTATATAATAATATGATTTCAATAGAGTAAATTTGAAACTTTTGTTCCACCTCCAATACACCTTTGTAACACCCCTAATAAATAATAAATAATGATAAAATAACCTCAACATTGACCATATTAAAATAGTATGAAAGTTTCCATATTGGTCTTGAATTGGCAATCTTAGGTTTTAAAGCACTACAAGCTCCACACCACGATTTATGAATAATTAGCATGATTGGCATTTTAGACTCTTTTGAATGTTCTAATGCATTTTCAAATCGCTTCCACTCAATGTATTCCCCAAAACCACGTCCAAGAGTCAGGTTAATTTTTTCTAACGCAAGATTCATAGCATTTAAAATATCTTCAGTTTTACCATAATAAAAAAGGGTTAATTTGTATGGTGAATCTGTGTTGTTTATATCAGTACGCAAGTTCTGATCAGGATCTGTAACATTAATAAAAATTAATAAATAATGGCTTCTATAGATATACTTTTGTAACATAAAAAAAAAAACTTAAAATATACCCATAAAAAAAATTCTAGGGGTGTATGTTCCATCAACATCAAATTTTTCACCCAAAGCTTTGCCTTCTTCTTCCTTTATAATATATTATTAAATTAATTTTATACATAATTTTTTTTTTTTTAATATCAACAATTTAATGTGAATATGCAAAATAAAAACAAACAAAAAATAACTTTATATTAAAAAGTACCTCCTTTTAAAATAAAAAGTACCCCCTTTTAAAATACCAAGTAACTTCTAATTTTAAAATAAATAATTGCAGTAAAACTAAAAAAAATATATTGTAAAAATATACCCCAACATTAATCATAACAAATTTCTTTGCAACTTCTGCTATTTCATTTGATTCTCTGAACTGCTTCATCATAACTAAATAAGAAAAAATTGTTAATTAACAAATGAACTCTTTAAAAAGAATAATATAATACAAATTTAATAATATACTTTTGAATGAGTGAAAAGGTCACACTTACATGATGAGAATTCACAATAATCATTATACATGACCAGCATAATAGCTTTGTGCCTAACAACAAACATAAAATTCATACTTTACATATCATATTTGTATTTACTTGCTATATATAATTGATAAAGCTCAATAACAAAAATAAGCTCAAAGGTTTTGTCGTTAAATAATTTGTCTTTCCGTACATACATAAATAAACATTAAGTTAGTCAAATTAAAGAAAAATTTTAAATAAAACTTTACTAATAAATATAATTAGTCCAAAGGCCAATGCTATAAACAAAAAACCAAAGCCTTTTGTAGTAAAATTTAACAAAAAAACAAACAAAGGAAACCCTTCTTCTAAATATGTTTTTTAAATTTTAGGTTTTTTTTAGAAAAAAAAAAAAAAATTTTTTGTAAATGCAATGCATTTTAGTGAAGCTGCACCGAGCAGTGTACGCCTTAGGGATGAATAATAAGTTAAAAAGAGTTGAGCAGAGTGAGATAAAAGTACAAAAGGACAGATGTCCAGAGGAAAACAAAGAGCCTCAAAGTGGAAAAATATTAAAAACTGATATGAGTAAAGTGTAGTAAAAAGTAAATAAGAATAATAAACAACAGTCAAGGAAAGTCATTAGTTGTTGTGCTACTGAATTGTTGTTGGAGTCCAGCGTAAATGTGATTTGTAGATAGAATTGACAATGGAGTAGAATTATTCGTTTTATAAGTAGTCACCATGTGGTTTGTATTCTTAGGGTGATAAACATTCATTATAGATGTAAGTGTCATGAACGTCTCGAGTACAGTATGGATTCGTGCCCTATGGTGCAGTGTGAACGCATAAAGACCTCCAGCTTTCATCCGAAACTGGTATCCCAAAAGAAGTTCCACTCTGGGTCTACACCAGGGTATCTTTTTAAAAGGTATCCCATTGTGTTATCCCAAAAGGACTATTCTCAGAGTATCCAGTCAGGAAGATTGCCACAGACTCCTGAATTGACACTGGGACCAGAGGACTCTTAGTGGGGTTCAGTACAACTTGCAAACAATAGTAAGTAGTTTTTTGACCTGAGTGTCTTTTAGGTGCAGTGTTTTTTCAAAGTGTAGCATGGGTCAATGAGAGTTGTGAATTGTTTTGAGTTAATTTAGGTATGTGTAATGTAAATAGATGTGTTTTACGAGTGTGACTATTGCAGTACCATGCCTCAATAGTAAGAGTTATCAGTATAAAAAATAGTTAAAAGGTCCTTTAAGTTGGTGTCACGTCAGCTAGGCGTGATTTATAGTAGTCCTATGACGTGTTTCTGGAGAATAAATTACCTATTTACAACTAGATGATCTATAATATTTAACTAGAATTTCAATAATTTAACAAAAAAACTAATATGTAAACTCATAATTTATATATAAAAATTACCACTAATTTATAACAATCATATGGAGTTTAGTAGTTTTACTGGTTAATATGAGGTTTTGAAAAAGTGTTTGGTATTTTGTGTAAGTAAAAAGAATCACAGTACATAAGTCACGTGACTGTGATGTTATGAGAAATATTTAAAATGGAGTAGAATTATTCGTTTTATGAAAATCATGGCTTGTTTTTGCTTAGTAATATTAATAGTTACTTGTGTCTTAAGTTAGCAGATAAAGTATGTAGCAGAGTTGGGGTAGAGTTATTTGTTTTTTAAGTAGTTGTCAGATGATGAATGTAACAGAGCTGGAGTAGAGTTATTCGTTTTTTAAGTAGTTGTCAGATGGTGTATGAAAGAGAGCTGAAGTGGAATTAATCGTTTTTTAAGTAGTTATCGTATGGTGTATGGAAGAGAGCTGGAGTAGAATTATTCGTTTTTTAAGTAGATATCAGATGGCAAGGATATTATTTAAATAACCCTGACAGGAGTGTTAAAGTAGATTGTACATGATAGTCAAAATTTTAGAGTGTGTACGGTGACAGTAGTAGTTAGTAGTTGTAATGGTTATGGTTAGCTGGAGTTGTATATTAAATATGTATGATTCTAGTAGTATCATATTAAAGCATATATACAAATACATATACAAATGCAAATACATTAAAGAAAATACAAATACCCCTATAAATACATTATAGCACACATGTAAATACACACACACACACACACACACACACACACACACACACACACACACTGATAAACAAGATTATATGTGCATTAATGCAAACACATATGAGTATGTATGTATGTACTCACACATGTGCATGCTTACACATATACACACATACACATACACATACACATATATACATATACACACATATATATATACATATACATACATACATATACACATACATACATATACACATACACCCATATACATACATACATATACCCCTATGATTATATATACATATATTCTCCTAAGTATCCCTAAATCATTTATAAGTATTATATACATTACAATAGCTATTTCACACATTTTTTTGTGTTGAATAGGTGTTGGAGTAATGTTTTAATGATCTAATCTTAGTAAAGTGTAGCCTTATAGACATAAATCAGCAAATATAGCTTCTAGAAGTATCAGTATAAATATTAGAATGATAAGCATAAGTGTATTGAAGTGTAGATGATCAAAATATAGGTGTTTTAATATCCAATTACCCATGTAGTGTCAAGATGACATTCTCATCAGGACCATTAGTTGTCATCAGGGAGTTTCGAAGGTCTGGCGCCTGACCAATGGTCTAGATTCTTCTAAATATGTTTTTTAAATTTTAGGTTTTTTTTAGAAAAAAAAAAAAAAATTTCTCTAATTATCGTCCAATCAGTCTTTATTCTGTTATTAGCAAGGTCTTTGAGTCTTTGATAAACAAATTTCTCACATCCCATCTTGGGAAAATAAATAATTACTGGCAGACAATTAATACCATTTTCGATCCTCGTGCTCTACAGCTGACTTGCTAACTGTTGTGACTGAAAGATTTTCTCGTGCATTAGATGGAGGTGGAGTGCCTAGGACTACTGCTCTTGACATATCTAAGGCTTTTGACAAAGTTTGGCATGCTGGTCTTCTCCATAAGCTTGTTTCATATGGTGTATCTGGGATAGTTTTTAAGATTATCAAATCATTTCTTTCTAAAGGCTTTAATAAAGTCATCCTTGAAAGCCAACACTTTTCTTTATTTCCAGTAACTTCTACCCTATTTTGTTTCTTATCTACATTAATGATCTTCTCGATAACCTTACATCTAAAGCAAAGCTGTGGAGTCGGAGTTGCAACATTTTTAGCGGAGTCTGAGTCGGAGTCGCTAAACAAAATCGCGACTCCGACTCCAATAGTAAAACTTCTCGGTATTGCACGTGCATGTACAAAATATTTAATAAACCTTGTGTTCATACTAAACCTCAAAGAACGTTTTATAAATTTGTCAAAAAAAATTTTTTTTTCTTATTGCATAATATTTTTTGAAGAATTCAATGAACTTTTCAAAAATTTTGCTTTGGAGTAGTAGTCGGAGTTGGACTCAAAAATTTTTAACAACTGGAGTCGGAGTCATTACTTTTTTTTTATGACTCCACACCCCTGATCTAAAGTAGCTCTTTGCTAATGAATCAACTTTATACTCCTGTCTTGACAAAAAGTCTTCTCTTTTCTATCACTTAGAACAGGCAGCCGATCTGAATTTGATCTAACTTCTGTAACAGATAGGGGCTCAAAATGGCTTGGGAATTTTAACTCCAACAAAACTCAGTTACTTACTGCAAACAACTATCACAGTACTGTCAACATTCCTATATTGATAAATGGCAACCCTCTCACTAAGTCCTTTTTTACGTCTTTTTGGATAATTTTTTTTTACTTCTGACCTTTCATGGAAACCATATACATAATCAATTGCTAAATTAGCACCTGCTAGGGTTGCTTTTCTTTATCGTAATTGCTATTTTCTCTCTCCTGATTTCATTCTCTACCTTGACAAATCTCTTATTTGTTCCTTATGGAATATTGTTGTCATATTTGGGCTGGTTCTTCTAATGATGCTCTTTCTCTTCTAGACAAGGTCCAAAAATGCACTGTAAACATAGTTGGACCTGCTCAATCTGCTAAGCTTGAGCCTTTTTCCCATCGTCATAAAGTTGCATCTTTTTCTCTTTTCTACAAATACTATGATGGTTGCTGCTAAAAGGAATTATCACCTCTAGTTCCATCAACTAAAACTAATTCTTGCATTCAGCAAACTCTCATTCTTTTACTGTATCTGTCCCTGCATGCTCTTGAAACTTTTATTTGTCTAATTTTTTTCCGCGCACTTTAACCCTTTGCAACTCTCTCCAATCTTCATCTTTTTCTGACTCATACAACTTTCAACTTTTTAAGTCTTCTATCAACCGTTTCCTTGCTCTACAACTCTATTCTTTTTTTCTAGTAACTCCCAACTTAACAGTATTGTTGGGAGTGAATCAGAATAAAAAAAAACTGCATCATTTATTTTTGCATCAGTTGTTATTCAAACTTTCAACATTTGTTATCAAGATAAAGCATTAACTGTCCTAACTTTGCACCAATTATTGATTGCTCACTGGCTCAAAATAATCAGTTGTTAGACATTAGCATTAATTGTTAGACATTAGCATTAATTGTTAGACTTCAGAATTAATTGTTAGACATTAGCATAAATTGTTAGACAAATATTGTTATAAATTTCAGTAGCAATGAAAAAAATAATTTCAGAATAATTGTTTATATATGTTATAAAGAGCGAGGGTTGTGACAAGTGAAAAGATCAAAAGCCCTAACATAAACATTAGCTTGAAGAGCGAGGGTTGTGACAAGTGAAAAGATCAAAGCCCTAACATAAACATTAACATAAACATTAATTTGACCCTAAAGTTAATACTACAAAGTTACAAATGCATGTTAGTATAAATGCATGTTTGTACAAATGCATGACCAACACATGTAAACTGGAATCTTTTTAAAAGATTTTCAAAAAGTTTCATAAAAAAAATAGTGAAGTATTTATTTTAAAATTAAATAGAAAGAAAGTACCATTTACAAATCTTTGAAAAAAATATTAAAGAAAATATCTTAGTAGAACTAGTTTAATAGTCTTTTGGTATTAAAAAAAAACAAAGAAAAAAGTCTAAGACTAAAGGTCTTTAAATTAAAACTAGATGTTATCCTCAGTCCTCTTCCAAGTTAAAAGAATTAACAGGAGAATACGAGCTAAACCGCCATATACAAGTTAATTTATTTCAATATACTTTTGCAAATGGGTAAAGCAATTTGAAAATATCACTTTTTAATCTCTTGTCAAATCAATTTCTTTAAGCTAATACTTTTTTTAATCATGACAAGGAAAGGGACAGGGAAAATTTTTTACATGCCAAATTTTACTTGACATGGCACAAAAGCAAGGATAATATAATAGACAGTGATGTCAACACCATAAAAGATACTAAGATGACAGATAGTGTTCATACCAATTTTAATGAAAAACTTATTTGGTGAGGTACTGAAATGCTGTGAAAAAAAAGTTTTATGGTAATCAATGATAATTTGAAATTTGCATCTTTATTTAAAAAAAAAAATTATATCAATTTTTTATAGTAAAAAAAAATAAAATAAAATTGTTATTGTTAATACCATTGTAAATATTTTGCTGCAATGGCCAAAAATAAATAAAACAGAAATAAAAAGTTCATGTTTGCATAAAATTTAAAAAATTACTTAAAATAAATTAAATTATAAAACTATGTTTCTACAAAAGTTTATAGCACTGGCCCTTAGATCAATTTAAAAAAATAGACAAATACATTTTTTTTGCTTGTATTAAACCTTCTTCGTATCCCATCCAATTGATGTTTGTACCAAAACCTTTTTTTCCAGGTTGTTCTCTTTTTCCAAGATTCATTTCTAAAGCTCTCCTCATAGATTTGACAACTAAATAAAAAATATTTACATAATATTTAAAGAAATAAAAGAATTAATAAACATAGAAACACAAAAGTTATACTAATAATTATGAATTCATACAATAATCGTAAACACACATACACAAACACAAACATAATGTATACAAGAATATATAAAAACATAAGAGTACATAAAAACTAAATTTTTTATTTCCTTTTCAGGTGTTATGTCCAATACTCTAAGCTTGTATGTTTTGCAAAAATTCAACATTGTCAATTATGTATTTAAATAAGACATTATGGAAAAGAAAGTTTTTACAACCAGATGTCATTCCTTATAACAACCTATTTTGCAAATCACTGAGTATATTTATTGTGATACAACGAACACAGAACTTACCAAAGAAAATTTAAAAGCTTTTCCTACCTTTAACCACAATAAAATTGAGAGTACTTTATTAGAGCTCTCCTTTTCCTTAAGTATTATAACTAGTGAGACATTTCTTTCTTTTACAGTATTAAAATCGGTCTTAATAGAAAACATTCTTCTTTATTTTCAGTAAGTTTTGGGGTACCACAAGGTTTTATACTTGGTCTGTGTTGTTTTTATATTAATAATCTTCCTGATCATCTTATAAGCTGTTAAAGATGGAACTATCTACTAGTCTCGATATGTTGATATTCTTATAATAATGAATGATAACACTCTTATTGAGTCTTCTACTTTAGTCTTCTATCACTAGGATCTATCACTATTAACCTCTTATGGAAACCATATATGTATTCCAAAACAAAGAAAATATCTGTTAAGTTTGCCTTTTTTTATAGTGCTCACCATCTTTTTATTCTAAATTCCATTTTCTACCTCTACAAATTTCATATATATTATAGTATGGAATACTGTTGTCATTCTTAAAATGGTTCTTTTTAAGATGGTCTTTTTGATTTAAACAAGGTCTAAAAATGTATTTTAAATATAGTAGGGGATGTTATGTAAGTTGTAATGTTGCATCTTTTTTCTATTTTGTTTCTTCATGCTATAAAAACTGTTATTTTTTTACCTTACCAATGGAATTCCATTATTTTGATTTCCATTAATTTTTTTTTTTTTTCTCATAACTCTCGACATAAAAAGTTTTAACATGTAAACATGTTGATAGTAAATTTGTTAAAAAAAAAAGAAAGTACGAAAGACATATAAGTTAAAAAAAAGGCTTTTAATTCCTTTTTTTGTCATCTGTAGTGTATAAATATAGTCAGCATTTTAAAATTTAAAGTGAGCAGAATTTATTATTACATTGTATCTAAATCCACAATAGCAAAATATGATATATATAATTTCAGCATATACACATACTAAAAGATTGATCATTATTAACATATACTACATACTTCCAGCAGTTGAACCATAAGCATATTTTGCTTTAATGTATTCCTTATCATCATTAAAAATACTTGGTTCAACTTTTCCCAAATTATCTAAAAAAAAAAAGTAACAGTAACAATATATAAACATAAAGATATTAGATAAAAAAAGTAAAAAATCATCTCACCAAGAAAGAAGATGCGTGGAATATATGCTCCATCTAAATCAAACTGATCCTCATTTGGTTCTTCATCATCCTGCAATATTTATTTTTAACATATTAAAAACTATAAACTATTATAAGTTAATTAGTAAAATTATTAAACAAATTCATAATTTATTAAAAATAAAAATATTTAATAAACCCACATTGCAATTGACCATAATAAAATGTGTACTAAGTTCTGCAATTTCAGGATCTGATCGAACTTTTGGTTTCAAAGCTGAAAAATATTTTTTTATTATTACAGTAATTCATTTAATAATGAAAATTTTATTTAAAATGAAAGTACAGAAAAAAAAAAAAAGATTTTTAAAAATGAAGACCATCAGCTATAATTTATTAAAACTTTTAACATCTTATAAAAACAAAGTTTTAAAACAATCATAATGAAAGTGTTTCTATATCACTGATTTATATACAAAATTATAAACAAAATTTTTATGCATTAACACTTATAATTGACTAACTACTTTACTACTTCCCTAAAAAATATTAACTTTCATAAATGCTTAATACCTTGGCATGCGCCACAGTAAGATTTATGAATGATCAACATCATTGGTTTCCCTCTAAATTAATTTTAAACTTTTAAAGTAATATTAATTTTAATTCATATTTAAAAATCAAAATTGAATTTAAATATTTTTGAAAAAAAAAAATTCTTTTCTTTTTTTTCAAATTAAAATAAATAAATTTTTTTGTAAAAAAACTTTTGAGAACTTTTTTTATGAAAATCAAAAATTGAAAAAATTATTGCTGCAAAATCTCACTGTTCTTTTGCCATTTTTTTTCCTTCTTCATATTTTACAAATCTAAGATGTTTTCCAAAACCTATAAAAATATAAATATTTATTTTTAATATTATTTTTTTAATTTTATAATGATTTAAAGATTATTAATGTATATTTGAAATCTCCTTTTAAATTAGATAAAAAGAATTTTTTTATTAAATTTTTGATTTAAAGATTATTAATCTCCTTTTAAACTAGATAAAATGTTTTTATACCATGATCTTCAATTTTGTTAAGCTCTGATCGATTTGCCAAAATTCGTGACATCGATGCAGCAACTAAATAGTTTCAAAATAAAAACTTTTATAATTGATCAATACATTTTTAATTTAGTTTAATTTAGTTACCATAGTTACTTGCTCACATTTAGAGATAATTGTTGTAAATGTAAACAAGTTTGTAATTTATAAAAATTAATTTTCCACAAACATTTATTAACGTCATGAAATAAAACTTACTTTCAACCCCACTGTCATAGTAATGTAAAACATGAGGATGTTTAGTTCCATGATTCCATTCCCCCTTGTAGTGCTCACCTTCTTCATCTATAAAAGCAAAACAATGAAAAAAAAAAAAACATTAACTTTGCATAACTATTCAAAATTATTCAAATTCAAGCAGAATTAATATAATATCTTACAGAATACAAAGTTGATATAATATTTTTATTATGAGTGAAATTAGTGCAAACATCACACCATTATTTTAATCACTGATCAAAATATGATGAAATAAAATTTAAAAAAATAAGTTATAATTTTATTTGAGATTCCCAATAGGGAGTCATAAATAAATAAGACTTACTCCCAACAAAACTGCAAGCAATCACTACTTAAGTTGGAAGCCAAAAAAATGCTTACAGAAGTTTAAAAAATTGTGAATTGTATGAGTCAGGAAAGCACAAAGATATAAGAGGATTCCAAATATATATATATATATTTTTTTATAAACATCTTTGCTTCCAACAAGGCTGCAAGCAAACACTAATTAGTGTTAGAGGTTACTGGAAGAGAAAAGATAAAGATTGTAGAGCCAGATAAAAATTGACAGACGACTTAAAAGATTGCAAATTGTATGAATCAGGAAAGCAAGATGAAGGAAGTGAATTTCCAAAGAACTGATGTTTGAGGAAAAAAACTAGAGGAATAAGTGCTTTTGAAGCACTTAGGAACAGTAACAGAAAAAAGATGAGACTTAATTAAATGACAAGTAACACGAGAATGAATTTTAGTAGATGTCACAAGAGACGCTAGCTCTTTAGAGCAGTGCTCATTATAGTATTTGTATAAAAGAGAGAGAAGCAACATTACGACGATGTGATAATGGTCGAAGGTTGACTGCAAGAGCAGTTCCAACTATGTTTCCATTGCATTTTTGCACCTTGTCCAAAAGAGAAAGGGCATCAATAGAGGATCTGCCCCAGATATGGCAACAGTATTCTATAGAAGGCCGGATTTGAGATTTATAGAGATAGAAAATAGAATCCAGAGTAAGAAAGTGTCAAGCTCGATAAAGAGATGCAACTTTAGCAGATACTAATTTTGCAACGGATTTGATATATGGTTTCCAAGAATAATCAGAAGTAAGAGTTAATCCTAGAAGATGAAGGGTAGATGACTCATTGAGTACATTACTGTTCATAAATATAGAAAGGTCTAAATTATTGCGATAACGATTAGCTGAAAAAAATTGAGTTTTATCTGAATTAAAGTTCAAGGCTCAAATGCACCCTCCAAGCAATCAGAGAGATGGTTTCTTATCATGACAAGAATAAATAGTAGTATCATCAGCAAACAATGCCACCTTAGATGAGAGAATATCTGGAAGATTGTTAATATAAATTAAAAAGAGTATAGGGCCAAGGATTGAGGAACTACTGAGGTTACAGAAGAAGAGTGCTGTCTATCAAGGACAACTTTTATACTACGATTGGAAAGGAAGGATTCAATAATCTTAAAGACGTTTCCAGATACACTGTAAGAAGAAAACTTATAGAGACCAGCATGCCAAACTTTATCAAATAATCAATGTTCAAGGAAAAAAAATTAGATAAAGGACCCTAATCAATCAAACAAGATTTATCACAAACAGTATTATTAGTCATTTCAAAAAGCAGATTAACTCAAGCTTTAAAGGAAGCTGAAAAAGAATAATTGTAAAACTATTCAGAAACTTATAATACCATCAAAAAATCCTGCTGCACATAGATGAGTATTTGACTTTATGAAAATCCTGAAAATTTTTTTCTTTGATAATCCTGGAAAATCCCGGAAAGTTATTTTATTAAAAAGTGATCGCATTTAATAACTGACAAACGAAATTTAGATTATTTTAAAACGGAATTTAGATTATTTAAATTTTTAGAAAAAGGAATTTCCAATATTCGAAAAAGTTTGAATGAACTAAAAAGCAAAAAAAAGAAAAAAAGAAAAAAAATTATTACGAAAATTGATCTCGTGAAAATTTTAATTATAGAAAACATATTTGTTTAAATGCAAAAGTTGTTGTATGTAAAATTTTATGTAAAAATATATTGATTTTTTTTTCAAATTAATATCAAAAAACATCCGGAAATTTCTGGAAAAATTAAAGGTGTTTTAAGTGAATTTCCGGAATTCCGGGAATTTCTGAAAAAAACTCATCTATGTGCTGAAAAAGAATAAGCCAAGAGTGCAAAGCATAAGAAGAAAGAAGCTAAGTTATCAATGTGTGTAATGTAAATAATTTTAAAAAAAATCTAGTTCAATTTTTGTTGTTCAATTATCAGTTTTCGTTAATTTTACTCTCATACTTTACTATTTTATTTTGTGCTTTAATATATCTTATACATATACATATGTAAAAGTGAAAAATAAAAAAAGGTATAAAACTAATTATGTTAATTATTTTAATTATGTTACATTGCGATGTAAATAATTAAGGTAAATAGATTTACTTTTACTGAAATTTTGATGCTTTTACAATTAAAGTGTTTTTAATATTTATTCATTTTATATTATTATTTCATCAAGTTGTTACACATTTTATTATCTATATAGGGCTATAGTTATTATCAAAATCTATTTAATTTATAAATTATTTTTTAAACTTATTGATCATTATATTTTTATGTCTAACTTTTTTGCTATCATCATTTTTCATGTCTGATAATGTTACTGCTATAGATAAAGTTAAAACCCGATGATAAAAAAGATGTGTGCAATAGTCATAATAGGCGCCTACCTTTTAATGATAGGTTTGTACTTTTTAATAATAGATGTGTACTTTTTAATGACAGGTGTGTACTTTTTAATGATAGGCGCAAATTTTTTAATGATAGGTGCATACTTTTTAATGATAGTTGCAGAATAGTAATGATAGTTGTAGATTTTTAAATGATAGGTACCTACTTTTTAATTATAGGTGCTTCCTTTTTAATGACAGGTGCATACTTTTAATGACAGGGGCGTACTTTTTATGTGTACTACTTAAACTCCCTCTTTTACAATTAAATTGTTAACTTACATATGACATATACATATAACTTATAAGAATATATTATATATTACAAGAATATATAAAAACTATTAACAATTAGTATACTAATCATACATTAGATTGAAAAGACAATTAGAAGACAATCAGAAGACAATCAGAAGACAATCAGAAGACAATTAGAAGACAATTAGAAGACAATCAGAAGACAATTAGAAGACAATCAGAAGACAATCAGGATATTAAAAAGGACATAAATGCCTATTTAAAAAGTTTCTTTTAATATCAGGATTAAAAGCTTTCATCATAATGATTCAGATAAATGCTTCTTGTAAACATGATCACAAAAAATAAAATTAAAATTTGATTGTTCAAGGTTTTCTATTAAGATTGCATCATTATTCTTGTCATGTTGTTATTATGCTACTATTTTAAGTCATCAATTACTTCATCAAATTGTTACACATTTATTATTTCATCAAGTTGTTACACATTTATTATTTCATCAAGTTGTTATACATTTATTATTTCATCAAGTTGTTACACATTTTATCTTAATCTGTCGCTGTTGTTCTAATTATATGACAAAAATGGCTTCTTCTAAAGGCATTTAAAAACAAGGCTTTTTTAAAAAAATTAAAAATTAACCTTTAAATCTAATAAGCTATCATTTAAAAAAAAAAGAAAAAAAAAAGCAGCATATTTCATGTATACAATAAAAACAATATTTAAAATAATATTTTAATTACAATAAAATTTACCTAAGAAAATAACTTTGGGATAGTATTCACCATCAGCTTTATACTTCTCTGCTTTCACAACTTCTTCTGACTGAAAAGTTAATATTCATTTTTAATTCTGCTTCAAAAAATTAACTTCAAACAAGCTAAATAATAGAAAATAAACTAGTTAAACAAAATAAAATAACAAAACTACAATATCTTCTTACATCAGTGTTTATCATTATAAATTCACCAGCTAATTGTTTGATTTCCTCAGATTCTGCAAACTTTGGTTTTAAACCTTAAAGTAAAACAAAATTTAAATAAATATAATTTCTTGTATTTAAATCTTTGCTTAGACCTATAAAGGTCTAAACAAAGATCCATCGTCAAAGATGAAGAAGACGCAAAGATATAAAGACATGACCAGTAGAATGATTAATAGTATGATTGGTGGGGTAACCAGTAGAGTGATTGGTAGTATAATTGGTGGAATGACCAGTAGAATGATTGGTATTATGATTAGTGGAGTGACCAGTAGAATGATTGGTGGAGTGACCAGTAGAATGATTGGTAGTATGATTGGTGGAATGATCAGTAGAATGATTGGAAGTATGATTTTTGATGTAATCAGTAAAATTATTGGTAAAATGGTCCGTAGAAATTTAAACTTTTTATATATATTATATTTTTTATATATACATAACAGTTTTAATAGATTTTAAAGTCTCCATAAAATGCTTTACTATAATATCTACTAAGGTGAGTTTGAATATATCAAAGTCTTTACTAGCATTAAGATTTTGTAATTATTATTTAAACATCACAAACAATTTATTATAGAAGCTTTAAATAAGACATTACTTAACATAACAATTATATTACAAAACAATCAATAAGAATATAAACCACAATTACGATTTAACAAATAATCAACATAAAAATGAAACAAATATTCAACATAAAAACATTATGCATAATTAAAAAAGTATTTATTTACGTTGGCAAGCACTGCACCAATCTTGATGAAAAACTGCAAGAATTGGTTTGGAACTAAAATAATTAATTTGAAAAAATAACTTAAATGTTTAAAAAATATAAAACTATATATATATATACATATATATATATATATATATATATATATATATATATATATATATATATATATATATATATATATATATATATATATATATATATATATATATATATATATATATATATATATGTATGTATATATGTATGTATGTATGTATGTATGTATGTATGTATATATATAAATACATATATATATATATATATGCATGTATGTATATATGTATGATGTATGTATATATGTATGTATATATGTATGATGTATGTATGTATGTATGTATGTATGTATTTATGTATGTATGTATGTATGTATGTATGTATATATGTATGTATGTATACATATGAATATATGTATGTATCTATATATGTATGTATGTATGCATATATATATATATATATACATATACATATATATATATATATATATATATATATATATATATATATATATATATATATATATATATATATATATACAACCCTCGGAATTAGGGTCAGTATTTGGCAATGCCGACCTAACTGCCGACCCAAAAGTGTTTCTATGTTTTATGGTAAGACCTTTGTTTCAAATTTTTTTTGCCGACCTCTAAAAGATCGAGGTCGGCAAATTATTGCTGACTTTATTTTTCCTAATTGCGAGGGTTGATATATATATATATATATATATATATATATATATATATATATATATATATATATATATATATATATACATACATACATACATACATACATACATACATACATACATACATACATACATACATACATACATACATACATACATATAAAGTTACTTTATTTTGTTATTATTTGCTTGAATTACATTATTACAATTTATTATTTTTAAATTTTTATTTTTACTACAGTTTTAAATTCTTATATATTAATTATCCAAATGATAAAATAAAATGACAAACTTGTTTATTTTTGATTTGCTTTTTGTTAGTTTTTATTTTGTTTGATTTTATTTTGTATTGGCTTATTTATTTTTTGTTTGCATTATTTGTCACTAATTTGGTTTTATAATTATTGCTTAATACAAATGACGCCACTATTAACATAAATTTATAAAATAATAAAAATTGTGTAAAAAGAAAACAACAACAAATATTAAAATTTATCAATAACTAACTGTTCTTTTGAAGCTTTTAAACCACTCTCCCAATCATACCAAACGTAATCAGTTCCAAATCCTTTGGAAATAATAAAATTATTTAAAAATAAAAAATAAAAAAATTGTACATATACCTATAAATCACAAATTACAATTTTTAGATAAAAAAATTTATAAATAAAATTTACAAATTCATAAGTAAAAAGAGTCTTTTCTTATAGTATACATTTCAAAATAATTCAAAATAGTTATGCCAACTTAACTTTGAGTCATTGTTGATCTACGACCAACATTGACACAACATAATTCAAGTATGTTCATGCTCATGCCAAATGAGAATATTAAAATAATAATAATTTAAATAGTATAATAATAGTATAGGAATAGTAAAAAATTGTTGTGATTGGAGACTGGGAACAGAAATACCCTAAATAGTTGGCCCCCTACCCCTAATGTGAGAGCAATGACTTAATAAAGTTTTTTGTTAATAAACTAATTAATAAAGATAATAAAGTTTAATATACATAAAGTTAATATACTTTTATGTTAATAATTTAATAAAGTTTGCAGCAGATTATACCAAAAGTTTATCAACAGATTTTAAGTTTCAGTTAATAATCGTTTAATGTTGAAAAGAGGGTTGTAACTTCACATAGTCATAATTTTTGTACACTATAAGATTATTAAATGAAATTTAAAATCTGCTGAGGTATTTCAGTTCAGTATAATATGCTTGAAAATATTTTTAAAATAATGTATTTCATTAACTCATATTTAAAGAGAGCCAAGAAGCTAAAGACCTACAAATCAAAACAGTTTGATTTTCAAACTTTCTAAATTTCTAATTTTTTATAAACTTTTTGCAAAAAAATTAAAAGTTATAACTTTTTAAAAGTTTTAACAAGCTTAGGGGAGGTAGGGGAGCATTGGGCAGTTGGGAGGTTTGGGCACCCCCTCATTTCTCACCATCTTTTCTAGATATTTTTTGTTTTTTACCATAGCATTATAGTTTTATAGTTGGCAACACTTTTCATCAAAAGTGTCAGCTGTCATTTCACTTGGTTGTCAAGTTACATGCGCTTAACAGTTTGTTAACAGTTTGTTGCAGTTTGTTAACATATGTTTGTGTTTTTTTGCTATGACTATTGGATTGAATGGTTAATCATTTCTTTTCAGGACAATGCTGTTTTTATTTAAAAAGAAAAATAAACGACGTGAAATCCCTAAAGATGTTATTTTGCATTGGAAGAGGTTTCTAAAGGAGGAAAAATTAAAACTACTGCGATTAAATATGATATACCCAGGTCTAACCTTCAAATATACATAAAACAGGGTGGCGCTGTGAAAGATACTTCTTGTAAATATATATCATCCCAAATATTCACAAAAGATGAAGAAGAAAAAATTTCAGAATATTTTGTAACATTGTTTAAACTTAACCATGAAATGTCAAAACTGAAAGCACGCGAATTAGTGAATACAACAATTTATGAAATCCCAAAATTAGCAGCAAAGGCCATCCCACTTGCATTCAAGTTGCAAAATATTCAAACGGGATTTGAAAAATCTGGCATTTAGCCATTCAATTCAAACATTTTCTCTGGTTCTTCTATAACTGATCGCTACTTGCCGGGAGAAAATAATGTTGCTACAGAAAAATCGATTTCAGACCAACCTATCATGGAACAGCCTTCAACAGAAGAAAATCTGAGGCTAGAAGATCGTACTAGTTCAAATGTGGAAGTCACTGGGCCATCTCAACTTGAATCTCTATCTAAAAGCCAGACTAGTGGCATGAAACGGAAGAAAGGAAAAACTAGAATATTGACAGACACACCCGAGAAAAGACTTATAGAAATTGAAGAAAAAAAAAACAAAGAAAAAATAAGATCAAAGAGCTCAACAAAAATCGAAAATGCTCTAAAAATGAGAAAAACAGGAAGATTAGTAGTGATGATGAAATAAAAAATGTTTCCGATTCTGACGAAGCCTTTGTTGAAATCGATTCATCAAAAGAAGATTTTGATGTAGACGATGTGATTGTTCTGGATAGAAATTTCCAGGTTAATAACTTTGTGTTGGTTAAATTTGACACCAAAAAAACTGTTTATCATTATGTTGGAATTGTCGAAGAGGTTAATCACTCCATGGCAACTGTCAAATTCATGAGAGCAAGTAAGATAAGAAATACGTTTATGTTTCCTGACATCGAGGACGTAGCCAGTGTCCCCCTGGAGGATATAAAGACAAAATTGCGTACACTATCAACATGGATAAATCGTGGCAGCTTAAAATATAAATTTGACAAGCCTCTTTGGGTCATACCAAATTTAAGATAAGTCTTATTAGGTCCAACATTGTGGAGTATTGATTCCAAGTAACATTGTTTAATCTTTTGTAAAGTCTATGATATGAAAAAATGTTTGTGTTACAATTTTTTATAGCAATGCTATATAACACTTAAGCATATGAGTATAGTAAAACAATATCGTTCATATTAAATACAGTGCCCAAACCTCCCCATAGGGGTGCCCAAACCTCCCAACCACGGGGAGGTTTGGGCACTTTGGACACGTGTTAGAAAACCTTTTGTAACTTTGCAACTAATTATAATACTAAAACTCTTCTTAGCAATAATTAATGCCAAATATGTGTGCTAGATATATTTGCAATAAAATTTTGATTATGATAAAAAATAACAGATTTATTAGCGTTTATGTAAAAAAGTGCCCAATGCTCCCCTACCTCCCATATATCTCAAAAATGATTGAACATTAACAATCCAGGCTAAAATGATTGAACATTAACAATACATATAAGATAAGATAGTTCTAATATTAGAAAAACTTTTTATTAAATGCAGTTTAAGCACTTAATGACTTTTTTTAATATCTACAAGTTCAGATGACTCAATAAAAACTAACCACAAAATCCAAAATGGTTGGGTTTAGGCAAGAATAGTTAAACAAATATATAATACACTTACCATTATGTAGTTCCCCTTTTTCTAAAGCCTTGTTCATGCTCTTAACAACTGTAAAAAAATTATGGAATTTAAAATTTATAACAAGATTAACTAAAAACACATTTATTTATTTTCTTTATTTTTGTTTATTTCTTTGTCCATTTAGAAAGAACAAATGGTTAAGAAATGTCTCCTAAAATCTTTTTAATCTACTATATAATTTGCGCAAATATTATTTGCAAACATAATCATGGTGTATGGTTTTCTAATCATATGAACCTGATTCTGGTTCAAAACCTGTGCAACTGATAGGATTGATTACAGACTGAGTTTATCTCAGGTTTATAGCAGGTATATAGTATATACAGTGGATAGCAAGAATAAAAGAGCACCTAGATGAGTTCATTAAAATAATGTTATACTCTATGAAGTAGAACCGAAATAAGAAGAAATAAAGTTTTATACTTGCATTTATCATAATATAATAAAATAATTTTAAAAAACTATAAAAAGAATATTTGACTCATTATATCTTTACAATTATTATCTTAAATTTTTACCTTGCTAGATTATAGATTTTATAATTAAGTTATTTAAGTTGTAAAACACGGTCTACTTTGAATGCAGCATTTAAATAATTTTTTGTAATATTCTGTTTATTTAAAATAAATTAATGAAGACAAACATGACAAAACTTATTCAGTTTAATTATTTCAACAATAAATCAGAATAAATTTAATCAAAATAATTTATGGATTTATGAACTTTATTCATGCAAAACCAAATTTAGTAAAATCTATTCAATAGCTGATAATGTATAGGTTTTAAAAAGAGTAGTAACCAACCATTAGCTGATAATTTGTAGATTTTAAACAGAGTTGTAACCAACTTTATTGGCAGAGTTGTAACCAACTCTATCTATATAGAGAATGTTGTGCTTTTGTGTATTTCATAATCTATAAGCAACGATCTCCTATTGGATTGTGTATGAAAGTACAACTCAAAGTTCAAACTTCAAATCTTTAACTTTAAATTTTTAACAAAACAACAAAATTAAAATATCAAGGTTTCTAGAAATGGCATTTAATTATTTAAAAAACTTAAATAATTAAATTTTCTATTTTTTCCTCACAATATATAAATCCTCAAAAGATAAATAAAAACAAACCATGTTCGGCTTTTTTGTAGAAATATTTTGCTTTATTACTTTTAGCATCTTCATTGACAATATCACTTAACACAACACCGTTATCTAAAAAAAAAAATTATTTTGAATAGATATTTCACAGAATCTGCAAGACCTAACACCTTTAAAAACCCTTCAAACATTTAAACATAAATAAGTGCCCTTAAACTTAGTAAATTATATCTACTTACTTAAAAATACTATTTTTGGAACATACTTTCCATCTAAATCATACTTTTTATCTTTTGGAAGTTCAGTATCCTATTGATAAAATATACAATTGAAAATATTATGCACAACATAAACTAAATATGTTTATAAAACTCAATAAAACACTATCAAAATTTTAAACAACATTTTTTAATATTTAAAATATAATGTAACTTAAACTACAAGTATTTATGCAAGATTATGAACTGCTAAAAAAAAACTTACAACTGCTGACGCAAGCACAAACTTTGAACTAAGTTCAACAAACTCCTTTGAACTTTCAAGAGAATCACTTAACTCTAAAAATAACAAGTTGATATATTTATATACTTGATAAGTAATAAATGTATGGATATATTTATATAAATTTTTATATTTATAATAAGTTTGTGTGCGACAACTACTCTATGGTATGAAAACATTTATTATTACTTCAAGATTAATAAAATGAATTTTTTTTTTAATCAAAGCTGCATGCTTAGCAACTAAAAGTTGATGATAAGACATGTTTACCATCAAACTATTTTTTATCTAGTAAAATAAAAGAACCACGTGCACAACGCACTAAAAATTTGTAATGAAGTTCAATAAATTAATCAAAATTAGTGAATATGCATTACAGTAAATTTAAAAACCAGCCAATTACTTTTCAATATCTTCAAACTGTATTTAATTAAAATAGATCATGCCATATATGTAATGGTTGTCAGCACATATAATTTATCAGGGGAAGACACAGGACTTTTTGATGTTTCAGATATGGCATATACAAACATTGTGAAAACTTTAATTTTAGCATGCTCATGCTATTATCAAATGAGAATTCTTTGCAAAAAATTGTGGTGATTGGGAACTGTCAAATAAAAATACCCCAAAATGCTTCCAGTTTCAACCCAAAAAATGCTCCCAGTTTGAACCCAAATAAATCAATAAAATAATTTAATTTATTATCTTATACTAAACTTAAATTTTTTGACTGAGTCATAAATTTTACTATGTCATAACTTTTGAACACTAAAAGAATATTAAATGAAATTAAAAACCTGTCAATGAATTTTAATTCATCAGTAATAATTTAATTCAAGGTAATAAATTCAAATATTTTAATAACTCATCATCACATTTGCAACGAGTCTGCAAACTTTTTTGGGGTAATTTTGTTACCAGGTTCTAATCACTGCAGTTTTTTGCAAAACATTCTCAATTGATTTAAGCATAAACCTACATAAATTTGGAATTTTTACAATGCCTAAAAGTGCCTTTTCTAAAAAATCAAAAATACTGTGTTCACTGCTTGTGCCGCACATTTTATCATTGTTGTTATTATATATATATATACAAATGCATAACTTAATTCTAAATTTTTATTAAATACTTTTAATACATCTCTATGACTACTAAAAGAACAAACATTTAAGAAAATAAAAATTCTAAATATTAACCTTCTCAAAATCTTTTTTGACATTATTAGGTAATTGACATACAACTTTGTATCACCATAAATATTCAAAGCTCTACATACAAATACATTTTCAACCCATCTTTTTACACAATATTTTTTAAGAAGTGTATCACTTCCGCAAATTATTTAATTATCTGCCCAATATGTAGGACTGATAGTCCTGCAGGTAGAAAAGATAAAAAGTTTATAAAAACTCCTTAGCACTGCATTAGCATTACTTTATTATAAAGTCTTATAAAAAGTCTTATAAAAAGTCTTATATAAAGTCTTTATATGACCTCCTTGATAAGCACACGGGGGGAGAGGGAGGAGAGGCCAGGGGGCACATGCCCCCTGCTTTTTTTCTAAAGGACTTTTTTTTTAAGAAAAATCTTAATGTAGACAACTTTTTTCACGAATTGATAATTTCACCCCCCCCCTCACTTCAAAACCCGAGTCGTCGGCCCTGGGCTAAATGATCCCATTTCAAAAATTGCATTTTTCACTCATCTCATCATTTCACTCAACTTATCAGTGAACATATCATAAAACTTTTAATTCACATTTGGTCCATTTATAGAAATTATTTTTTAAATTTGGCAAGGAGAATTTCATTTAATGTGTTTTTTAATGAAAATCTTTTGTTTTTTAACTTTTGTAAAAAATTCTAACTTTGGTACAAATCATTAGCAGAAGCTAATGACCTAAAACACTGATAAAATACATTTTCTTATTAACATAGTTGCAAATAACATCTCAATATCAAATGCAAGTATCCATTTGATCTTTTTGAACAATTTTATTTAAAAAGTTAGCGAAATATAACTCGATGCATTCAGCTAAAGACCACCTTTAATGCTAGATCATGAAAATATGGACAAGACCATTTGGGATATTGTAAGCCACTTAAGTTTTCTCAAAAGCTATATTTTTAGCTATATAACGGTCAGGCAGGAGTGTTACATCATTTTGAGATGCAAATAAAAAGAATGATGGCACTGTTGGTCTAGACTAAGTTGTTTAAAAAAATCACCATTAATTTAAAAGATCCATCTAAATAGATGGCAACAAATCAGAAACTAATAAAGTTGATGTTTATGAAGCAGAAGTAAAAAGCTTGTAAAAATGTATGTAAAAATACTTGAGAATAATGTTTAATAGACAACATGAGATGTTTCGAATTAAAAAGAGAAATTAGGCAAGATTGTAAGTGTTGAGTTCGAGATTGAGTTTTGGTTGATGGAACAAGTGATGCTAACTCACTTGAGCAGCAACCATGGTTAGTACCTGTATAACTGAACAATTATAACTTGTATAAATAATTTTTTTACTATATTCTCCTTCGTAAAAGCCGTACATGTGGCAACTCTAACCATGGTAGTATTTCTAGAAAAGAGAAATTAATGCAAACTTACAACGATGGGACAGAGCGTCAAGTTTGATAGCGAAGAGCATGTCTAACAACATTTGTAATATATTAATGAACCTGGTCTAAAAGAAGACCTTTTAAGGAAACTTAAACATCCATTCAGTCGATTATATCGCTAAAGCAAAAGTAACCATATTGAATTGGGGGAAAACGAACTACTTTTTCTTATACGCAAAGTTAAGAAAACATTACTTAACAATAACTTTATGTCAATTACTTTAAAAATTAATTAAAAAAAAACATTGAATATCTGCTAAATAAGTGTTTAAGGTGATTTTACTTAATTTTTTCATACTTTTAGATTTCTGTTTGAATAAAATGACGCCTTACATTGCTGTCTACATAATATTTTGGTTATTTTAAGGTATTAAAAGTACTGATATTTTGATATTTATTTACCAATACTAAATAAAGATGCAAATTAAAAGTAACCCACCAATAATAAAATGTGCAGAACAAACATAAACTTAAAAGATTTTAGGAAACCGTTGCTTGCTACATGCACTACTACCTACAGCATGATTTATGGTATTCAACCACTTTCTTTTAAGTACTTCATCTTTAGGAAGATTTAAGTTTTGATTTTTAAAAATCAAAACTTAAATCTTCAAAGCAAAGCTTCTTTAAAAAAAGGCTAATGAAAAAAAAAAAAAACTTTTTTAGTGTTAGCTACGAATCATAGCTAACACTAATAAAAGTTTTTTTTTATCATTGTCTTTGATAAAAGTCTAGCAAACAACGCTATTTTTAGTAATTTCTATAAGAACCTTTTACTGTTTGAAAAAGAAATGTACAATGTCATCGTCAATGAATATAATAAATGACAACAACACTACAATAAATGACTACAACAAATTTCTCAGATAAGTTAGGATTAGTATATGAATAAAAAATTATATTAGCGTATGACTTCGCTACACACTTAGTGTCCCTAAGACAGTCTTCTGCTACAAAGAATGTGCTGCTACATCGACTGAAGGTTTGGATGAGGCAGCCATCTTTTTTTTTTAATATTATATCAATAAATATTCCTTTATGTTAAAGAAGTCTTCACCGTCAAGAACGCAACAAGTTAAAAATAAAAAATAAAAAATCATAGGCCATTAACTGTAGAATTACCATTTTACAACTTTTAATGAGTCGCAATTTTTTTTTTTTTAATTTTTAAATTCTATATTCATTTAAAATTTAGTTCTGTCCTTAAATATAAAAAACAAATTGTTCTGTATCAAAAAATGAGTTAATTTTAGATATATAGTTAAGTTATAAGAAGAACCTAATTTACTAGAAACATCTAAATGTTAATTAATATTGCATATTTGCATAGATTTTTTATTAAAACAAGAGAGTTAGTAATTGATTCAACACATTTGCAAATGCATAATTTTTATTTGGTGAATTAGCTGTTATCTAGGGAAGAGTTGTGCATTATGCAAATTTTTTTCAAAACACAGGGATTGAAGTTTTTCCCATTCTACTATTAGGGTAATATGTAAAAATATTTTTTACAAAATTGAAATAACTATTCTAGATCCCCCTCAACGCCCCCAAAGATAAGCCCCAAACTTTTGTTTTTAATAGTAGAGAAATTGCATGCATTTTTTACAAATTTGGTTAATAACATAATGCAACTTTTAGATATAGACACGATTTATTATCTTAAAAGTATTATGATAATTATAACAATATTTAGCAATATAATGCTAAATATTGTTTATTACAATCAAAAAAATTTATAATATTAATGCTGACAAAAAGGGGCTAAGTTTAAGAAACACAGTGCAAGTCGACATCTTTGCCAATCAGTTCAAGTCAGTCTTCAGATACTCCCAACTTGACTTCGCCTCCATTATCCACAGGAAGACCTACTATTTTTGCATCTACGTACTTTTGGCTAATTGGATACCCATCACCATCAACAACTGGTTCCAAGCTGCCTAGTGCCAACAAGTTTTAAATTATTTTCTTTTCCTAGACACGATGAAGAAAATGTTAAAAACCATATAACAAATCAAGAAATTGGGCATACAGTTATTGGGAATGTGGTCACTTTTTGGAACATGGCACGCATTAAAACGAAAACAATACAAAATTGTCTGTTGGACGATAAATTTTTTGAGAGCAACACACAATTCCAAGCAGTAAGATACAATCGGAAATTGATATTAAGCGATAAAGAAAAATAAAGAATAGAACATAACGGCAGATTGGATGATTAGGATAATGAAGACATGTAAGTCAACGATAAAGGATAAAATAGTGATCAGGATTACTGCCATTATTTACGCCAAATAATTACGATACTGTAATTACTGCCATTATTTGCGCCAACGACAATGATTTTGGTGCATTTACGCCAGTTTGCATGTAAGCAAATTTGCGTTATGGCGAGCACCTGGTTTGCACAGTTACGCAGTTTCGCAGACGATATTTCGTCTAACTTTTTTGTGCAAAGTTTTGGAAGTGAGAAGCCGCACTTATGCAAAAAAACAAACAGATAAGTTTTCGTTTATCAACTTTGCAGTTAAAGTTATTTTTGGGAGCTGCACTTAAAAATAAAACAATTCTTTGGAGAAAAAAAAATAACTATAAAAAACTTACTTTTACATGGTTTACAAGCTTCTTTGTGCATATAAAACAACACCAGCTTTTTCCTTAAAAAAATTAACTTTTTCAGTAACACACCACTACATTATTTTTAAGAATAATAAATAAAGAATATTAAATAAGAAATTCTAAAATATAATAATAAATCATTTTGGTAAAACAAAGAGTTGCTTTGGCGAGTTTTTAATGCGTTAGATTTATAATTAATATTTTATAAAATAACACACGCAAAGCTATGAAGCACCGATACAAATCGGGGACACGAGTGCAACACGACTCGGACACGGGGACTCTGCAAATTTTTCAAAAGTAGGACACGACTCGGCATGGATACGCCATGCTTAGCCAAGATTTTTCATAGTTTAAATAAATAAATAAGTCATTTTACTAATAGAAAAATGTAAAAAAAGACAGTTTGTCATTCCTTCATACTAAAATTGTTTCAAAACATAAGAAAAAAGATATAGTCATACAACAAACATAACATAAAAGATAAATCACTCAATTTTCTCAACATTAGATCCGATATCATTCTCTAATTCTGGTTCATCAAGGGAAAGCGTAGCAATCTCTAGTTCTCCAGCTCCAGAAATTTTTTGATGGTGAATCCGTGTCCGATTCGAGTCGGACACAGACACGGTAGCCATTTATACGTGTCCGTGCTTCGCATACGCAAAATGGCAAAACTACAATTTAAGCGGTCTAAAATAATTTTATTTTTCGCTTGTTGTGCTCTTGTGTTGAGACTTGGTTAAAGTGGTAACTTTTAGATATAAACGTAAAGAATATTTATTAGCTTCAGTACATACATCGACTATCTTATAGCCTGCTGCTACAAGGAAGTGCTGCTACATCGACTGAGGTTTTTGCAATTTTTTTTCTTTTATAATTTCAATTAATGTTCATAATGTTTAAAAAGCCTCCACTGAAAAGAGCACAACAAGCAAAAAAATAAAATTATTTTAGACCGCTTAACTGTAGATTTACCGTTCTAATCTACTTATAATGAACTTTAAAAAAAAACGTTTGAAAGACCAAAACTGCGATTTTGTACCTAACTTGATTTCGCTATCAGTTTAACTTAAGTAAGGTCGCATGTTTAGCAACAGTTACCGAACTTTAAATAAACCACTAATATATTTTCTGATAATATGAATACGCTAATTTAATATTAGTCGAGTTACGTCAATTTTACGTCATTAATATTATTAGTCGAGTTACGTCATTTTCTAGACATTTCTATTTTAAAGTAGTTTCTAGGCTTTTCTATACGCGGTTTTTTTTTTAATTTTATTTACTAACAACGCGTATTACGGGTTGCTTATATATTAATAAAATAATTTTCGCTGCGAGTAGGGTTCGAACCTACGCGGGAAGATCCCATTAGATTTCAAGTCTAACGCCTTAACCACTCGGCCATCGCAGCTTGCACGTTGTATAAATAAGTTATTATTAAATTTATTAACATATTTGTAAAAATTTGACATTAATGTTCATGTTCTCTAAGTAATTTTTAAAGAAAATATCTAATAGGAGACTATATAAAGTAGGAGACTTTTTTTAAGAACTGACGATTGTGCCTCTTCCGTACCGTAAAATCCGTACCGTTGGCTCTGTTTTTGATAACGCAAGCCATTGTGGGATAGATATTCAAACCATTGTGGGATTTATATTCACCATAGTGGGATTGGTATTTTTTATTTTTTTGCCATATAAATTTATTTATAACATAAAACATATGTAAATACAAATAGCAGGAGCTAGAAGAAGACATTTAGACAAATGTCTTCTTCTAGCAAATATTATTATTGTGTATTACGGTATTAATAGACAAATGTCTATTAATACCGTAATATTACGGTATTAATAGACAAATGTCTATTAATACCGTAATACACAATAATAAAAGATAAAAATCGTAAAACTGCAACACTACAGCATATAAAATATTGTTATATAGACTTTTTATATTTATAAGAAACAAACAACAAACAAACAAAAAGAAAAAATTCATAGGTCCTGAATGCCTCTTCCTAACTATAAAAATCTCCTTTTTTTTCTTATTTTAATATAACAAAAGGACAAATTAAATACCAAAGTAAAAGCAAATACTATAGTATAGCAAAAAATTATATACTTAAAAAGCATGCACGCATATACTCATAATCCTGAGATTTTCCTTTTAAACCAGTATACACTTTTACATATACATTAGAAGAAACCATGCGCTTTGCATCCTCTAAATCGAAAAAAAAAAATTTAAATTGCCCCCCCCCTTCCCTTATGACACAATCTGGATCCGCCCCTGTGTCTAGCGCCCTACAAAATTTACTAGTCGGCATATTGGACACTGGAGTCTGCAAAATCGGATCTAAAGTTGGCAGTCGGCAAATGTCAGGCCACGAGAACTTTTTTTTTTCAGATCTTAGTCGGCAAAAAAAATTTTCTAGGCCTTCGTGGGTTTTGTAGGCCTCGGTACCGCCTTCCACCTTACTTTAAAATCTTTTCGGGACGGCACTATTGATATTCAAATTTAAATGCCGATTTTGAATCTAGGCAATTTATCCACCAACCAATGTGTTTTTTGTTGCATCGAGTTTTCTTTTGTCAATCTGAACAAAAGCTGTTATGTTATTCCCTCGACAAAAGCAGTCATGTTATGACAATTTGTGTAGGGAAAAAAATTAAACTTGTTTTCAAAATCTTTACAAATGTTTTTTTTTATAAACTTTTAAACAATTAAATTTGAAATAAAAAAATATATATACTTTTAACAACTTATTTATAAATATTTTCAACGAATGTTATAAATATTTTCAACGAAACGTTTTATGTTCTGTAAAATACTAAATTGTAGGTACTGTGACATCACTTAAGTGAATTATATTTTACCGACGGATTACTTTTTTATTAACGGAGTAATTCGGACAAGAATAGAAATAAAAAGTATACACACTCGTTTTATGCTCAATAGTCTTACCTAGTCTGCTTGCTATTGTTAAAAACTAAAGTATTTAGCAGACAAACCGCCACAATCGCAACATACCACTGCGATAAATATCTAGGCAACTATCAAGTTTTTGGGTAGATCGATTATACCTATAAAAATGTTGACTAAAGAAAATTCTATTAGCGCAATTTTTTAAAACACAAAATTTCATAATCAATAGTCAGTTGTTTAACTTAAGGCGTAGGAATAATTTGTTGTTCATTTTTACGTGTCGTTTATATACCTAAAAGTGTTAATAATGGTTATTTTTTTAGTTTTTTTTTTGTACGAAAAGCAGCATCAATTTTCTCATTGAATGCTCTTCCACGGTGCTCTGTGACAAGACCGTGAGCTCTTATTATCATGAACACCCACACAAAGTGTAAAGAAAAGTATAGCTTTATAAACAAATATGTTTAATATTCAAAACAAAATATTGGTTTTAACATAGTATGAACAAGATTTTAACAACCTATTTTTGATAAACATTTTGATTACACTTGTAATCACTATGTGTGTATAAAATGTGTATGTATTCAACATAGATAAAGATATTAGTTTAGTTTTACTAGTCGAAGGTGTGGTTTTTATATAATTTGATTTTAACCCTTTAATAACACTCAGCCGCTACCATTACCATTCGTTTTCTTTTGAGTTTTTAAACATTTATCATCTCATTTTTAAAAAAATTAGAAAATATCCTAAAAGTCCTAAAAATGGATAGAATAAAAATCATCGTCTCTCCCTATTGTAACTAGTACCGTCGGTATCTCTCAATAACTTCGCAAAACTGCCCGCCGTACAAAAAAAATGTTTGTTTAACAAGTCAAATATTTTTCAAACTACTTACATGGATATCAGAGAGAAAAAAATCACTTACTCTTCTTTAGCTGTTTTAATGGCTTCTTCTATTTTCAACCATTGAGTTGCTAAATGATTGTATAAGATAAATATATAAAAACTTCGAAATTAAAAAAACAAATTTCAAGGTTAAAGGAAAACCTTATCGGTGTATTTGTTTAAAAATAAGATAACTTTTAAATGAAACTGTTGTGATTTAAAAATGAATTTAATTTATATATATCTTAATTATGTAAAGATAACTCACCACGTACAACTTCGAAAATTGTAACAAGGAAAAATGTTTTTATTATTATTGACACCATCCTCCAATCTTCAGAAATATTCAGTAAAAACTGAAGTAAAAATCAGAAAAAATACCAGCTGAATGGGTCGTCGTTTTGTGCAGTAAATGAAACAAACAAAAGAAGAGCCGAAGCATGCTCATATAACTAACGGTCTTTTGATCGCTTTTGCTTAACTTTCTGGATAAAAATACTTTTCCGTGATATTTAGCACGTGACTCTTTAGCTTTGAAGTCATGTAAACAATATAAAAGCTTTAGAGCTTGCTTCATTCCCAATAAAGCTTTTAATAAAGGTTCAACTGTGTTTTGCTGAAAAATAAAATTAGTTAGGAACATAGTATTTCATTTATGTTCCACTGATTACCGCATGATCCCAACAAAAGATAACTCTGGCTTGGCTTTATTGACTGTACCGAATAAAAGTTTTACATTTTAAGTTAGAGGCTCCTAATATAAAATGTAACGCTTATGGTTGAGTTAGACAGTTCAGAGTTTTGTGGCATGTCTAAAAACTAAAACTTATTGCAATATGAAGCAATAACAGCGTGTAAAAGAAATTAAAAAGTGATCAATCAAGTTTGCAAGTTTAAATGGTTTTTGTTCCAGTTTTTTGTTCCAACGTTTTTTTACTGTATACATACTATGATCATACTAAGATTTACGGTAGGAATAGAGTATGGATGATAAAGTCACAAATTTAGTGCAACAAGTAACGGATAACTCTTTATAGACATAAATAGTGATACTTAATACCATCCGAAGAATAATTTGTTAATTTTTAAGTACCGTGAAACAAGGTAACTCTTTATCAATTTTATTGAAGATAATAACATTTTGAATATTTTTTGAATACTTTAAATAATGGCTAATAAGCTCAGTCAGTCAAATCGTCAAAAAAAAATGTTGAAACTTAGACTGTTTTTTGATGCGAGTTCAAATCCAGCCATAACTAACTTAGCGCTTGAATAGTATACTTCGGCACGCAAAGCTGTTGATCAATAACGGACAATTCTTGGATTACTCTTTTTTTTTCTTTTTTTTTTCCATATATTTTTACAACTACATAGTTTTAACAATACATACTTTTATTACAAATAGTTTTAACAATATATACTTTTATTGGAAATACAGTGAAAATGCTTTAAAAATAACTAAAATAATATTAAAATATATTTGATGTACAAAGTAGTAAAATAAAGTAAAATAGTTAACAGTTCATATTTTGAAAAGACAAAATAAGTGTTAAAAAAGAAAAAAATAAACCTTTATTTATGTAGTCAAGAAAAACTCGCAGAAAACTGTATAAAGTCTTGTCATCGAGAATCTTTTTTTTAAAATAATTTCATGAGATACTCATAACTATTTTATTCGTTACTTATTGTATTTTTCAATATAATTAGTCGTGTTATTAGGAAGGAGCATAACATAAACATAACACACACACACACACACTTAAATATATATATATATATATATATATATATATATATATATATATATATATATATATATATATATATATATATATATATATATATATATATATATATATATATATATATATATATATATACACTCATAAGATATTAGAAAGTTTCCATATAACTGCTTGTATCTAAGAAAAGTTTTTAAAGATTATTTAAGATTAGCTTTTTAGGAATTTATATTTTTCAGGAGGGATATTGAGGAATTTTTGGCATTAATTTGTTATACAAGTAAGGACCACAATATGCTATAGAAAATTGGGATAGTTTTCTTTTTTTCAAGGGTACTATATAGTTTCCAGTTTTTCTAGTGCTAAATTTATTTATATTAGTTTTATAAATTTATTTATAAATTGACTTGGAACAGTTCCCATTTTATGTTTGAACATAAAGAAAATATTTTGATATATATTGATTTGATAAATGTTTAAAGCATTCATCTGTTTTAGTAATGGGTTTGCCTGAGTTAGTTTGTTTTTATAAAATATAATTCTTGAAGAGAATTTCTGCTGTCTATAGAGTGAACTTAATTTAGTTTTATGGGTACTTGCCCATGCTATATTGGCGTATGGTAGATAGCTGTGTATAAAGGAAAAGTGGCGCAGTGGTTAGAGCTTGCTTTAGAAGTAAGAGATTTGGGGTACGAAGCAAACACCTTGGGGTATCTCATAAAAAAAAAATTAATATTTTGGTGGTAAAAGTTATCCATAATTGATACAGGAGCGATTCTAGGAATAAATGAGAGGTGGTAAATCTTTGAAAACTTGCAACTGCTATTTAAAAAAAAAAGAAATGCACCAAATGCCGACTAGGAGATGTGTCAAATGTTGACTATCCAACAATATTCTTTAAAAAACCGTATTTATATATAGCCTTATAGCCTTATGGCTTTCTTATAATTAGAAATTTAAAAATAACTTTATAGCCTTCTTTGAGAAAAGAGGGGGGGGGGAGGGGCATAAAATTGTCCTAGTATTGATGTCATTTATTTAGTAAAATGATGTGTTCACTTTTCATCAAATCCAAATTTTTTTAAAAATAAGTTAATTAACGATTGGGTAACTGTTTCAGTAAATTGTGTTTTTTGGCATAAAACAAATAAAGTGTTATTATTTCCATTTAATTTAATTTTAACTTATAGTTAAAAAGAAAGAAAAGAAAGGACAATAAATAGATGGATTAACAGTATTAAAGCAGTAATATGCTAAAATAATAAAAAAATATATATATATTTAAATATAAAAAAAAATTATTTCTATCTCTTCAATTTCCCTTCATTGTTTTAAAAGTTTACTGGTATGTGTGTAATATCTTTTAAAAAGAATTAAAAGTATTATCATATAAAAACATGAATCACCAATTAAATAAGTTTTAAACAATCGTTCATTGCTATGGAACATTGCAATACAAACAGGATTTTTTCATGTTTTTGATATGATAATTTTAATTGCAAATGTATAAAACTATCATATCTAAAACATAAAAAAAATCTTGCTTACTCCACTGGGATTTTAGAAAATCTACTCGAATCAGTTTACTAAACCTTCACAAAGTAAATTCATCTAATGACTTGATGTTTTGGATTGGGGAAAAATTTTTAAAAATAAGTTGGCTAATGCGTGTTTTGAATCATTCAAGTTAGTTTACAGCTCTATTTGCAGCGAATTCATTCTTAAACAATTCAGTACTAGGGCTTCTCATTTCCCGTAAAAATCTAAATCCCGGAATTCCGGGACAAAAATGATTAGTTTCCCGAGATCCCGGGAAATCCTGGGAAATTGGTAACAAGCAAGAATTTATCAAACTAGGTTGGGGGGGGGAGAGAGAGAAGTGTAAGTTCAAACAAATACAAAAAAAAAAGGGTTTAAATACTATTACTTTTAACAAGGAAATAAAGACAAAATAATTCTTAGAAACTAAGACTCTCAAAATAAAGCAAATATAAACTTCAATAACATTATATTTTATATATATTAACTTTTAAAATAATTTTTTAAAAAACATAAACTGTCAATAGCGCTATCACTTAACGACGACCAAATTTTTGTAATAAAAAGACCTGCCGCAGAAAAAGCTCTTTCTGAATCGTTTGAAGTTGGTGGGATAGTTAATAGAGCATTATATAATATGTCTACATTATTTGTACGCTTTTTCGTTGCATTAAGAATATCCATTTCTTTTGTAATATTTTTAACATCATATAACACATCTTCTGGACTCTCAATTTGACTAACGTTCGTAATGGCAGCTTCCAATTTTTGAAGAAGTGTTAATTCAGATGTTGTCTTCAAATTTGGTTCGGCCATAATCGACGTCCCGTCATTACTGCGTTCTATTTCTTCAATTTCAGCATAATTTCCACCATCAATATCCTTAACAAAAAGCTTAGAAAATAATTTTGTAGCCGTAGCCGTAGCTTGAAGGACTGTTTTGAAAGGCAACAATAATACAGAATCTATGTTCAATTCGTGTTTATAATTTGATGGATTATTTAAATATTTTAGCAAGCCAACTAAATTTTTATTCCGTCTTTCAACAATTCTCTGTTGTACACACTGCAGCATTTAAACAAAAAACAATCTTTATTATTGCGCAAAACAAATATAAACACTAATACACCATCTGCATCAGGTAGGGATGCGTTGCGTAGGCCAAGTCTTTCAATTCCCAATTTAATTGGTTGTAACGCCGATACTACAGTCTACACCACTAAATATTCCTCCTCCAAAATATTGTTAATATTGCTAAAAGTAAATCAAATCTATTTATAAATCAAATTCAATAGTAATATTTTATCAATCTTAGACACAACCCAAAACTGCAAAATATTGGTGATTTAATTGCCCTCTATAAGATATCTTCCTAATTTTTATAGAAATTTATTATAAAATGGAAAAGGAAGTAATTAATACTTATACATCCTGTTATCCCGGGAAATTTCATTGAAATCCCAAGATAACGGGATGGTTTTTTACCTCCGGGATCCCGGGAAAACGAGATCCCGGGATCCCGTTTGAGAAACCCTGTTCAGTACATTCTGTCCTATTAAATGCATTCCAAAATGGTTGTATGTTTAGAGTAAAACTGTGTCTAGAGAAAAATATATTGATGGAAACACGATGGTTTCGCGATGGAAACACGATGGTTTCGCGTACTGTACAATCAGTAAAACAGGTTAGTCAAGAAGTTAATTGCAGAAGCTTCTTAATTCTCTATTCTCTCTAAGTTAATTGCAGAAGCTTCTTAATTCTCTGTTCTCTCTAAGTTAATTCCAGAAGCTTCTTAATTCTCTGTTTTCTCTAAGTTACAAAAATTATATAATAAAAGCGCATAAATTGAATCCAAAGAGGTTCTATGCATATGTAAACAGTCAAGAACCTTGTGTTAGTGAAACTATTATTTTTTAATTCTTAAAGTTGTTGAGAAAAGTAACTTGATGTTCATACTTGAATGGCCAGTTAATAAAGTCGTATCTAAACCAAATGATAACTAAGTTTTTGAACTTTGCTTTTTGTACTAAAACCCTTTTTGAACCATATTCAAAATTTATAATGCTTTTTAATCCAAAAAAAAGTTGAGTTATTAATTTTTATATTAGATATTACAAAAGGAACTGATATTGATGTACTTTATCTGTTTTCGTTAAAAAATTTTATTCAAAACTTTGTGCTTTTGCTTGTATTTATAAATTCTTTTTATAAATACAAACAAAAGCACAAAACTTTGACTAAAAATTTTTAACAAAAACAGATAAAACCAAATGCTTATAAAAATTCATTTCAAATATATTCATTTATATATTCATTTTCTTTTCTTACAATTTTAGCATGTTTTGGCTTAAAGTAAATAATTCTGCATGCATGTTTTACTTACGGTTTTGTTTCAAAATATAAGAAAGTATTAAGCTCTAGTTTCTAGTGATTTATTTAGTTTTTTTAAATTAGGTTCAAAATGACTCATTTTGCAACCTTTTTTTAAAGGTTGGGAAATGTTTAAACGTTGACTGTTCTATCTGATTTTTCAATTTTTTTTTCGTGAAGAATAAAATATTTGTATTTTTACGTTTTTGTATTATAGATTCAGATTTCATATTTTCTTTTTAAAAAAATTGGTTTGCTGCTTTATTCAATCAGCAAAGTTTTAAGTTTTAAACTGAATTCTTCAATTTCTTTTAACTCGCTATGATCTCGAAAGCTTCAAAAAAATATATATATATATTTTCAAACAACCGTTAATGCTACTTTCTTCAATAAGCACTTAATTAGTATGGGAAAGCGGGGCAACATGGCGAATGGGGCAAGATGGGTTTTCATATAACAACTCAACAAAAAATCTTAAAGCTGTATAAAACGAAACTGTATTTGCATCTTGTATTTTAAAACACCAGTTGGTTTTTTTAAATATTATTAACGCAATTTTATACTCATAAGTTTACTTTTTGCACTTAAAAAAAATTCCTTAGTTTCGGTTTCTCATAATAAATGGTATCCTTCAAGTTTAACTTCTTTAGAAGTAGTTTTTTGCGACTTGAGTTTATTTTGTGTAAATTTTATAAAATTGGAGGCAAAAAATGCATAATAAGTCATCTTGCCCCGGTCACGTGACCAGATGACAAATTTGTGAACTTTTTATTTTAATATTTATTTCAAATTGTTATATTTGCAAACTGAAAATTCATGCAGGCAATGAGTCATTTTAATAACATAAACATATTGAGAAAGTATTATTGCTTCACAACTTATAGTTTTGCAATAACTCAGGGCTTTCAAAACGTTCACCATGTTGCCCCGCTTTCCCCTACGCCTCCTCCTTAACATTCTATGGTTCCGTTTACGGAATAAAACTTTGAGATGCTATAACTTTTTTTGAAATATTTCTTTTTTATTTCGTAAAAAAATAAAGAATAATGACGTTATTTTTAACATACATATTTATATTGTATAAAAGTATAATTTTATTTAACTTTTTCAACTCATACAATTTGCAAATGACTTGAAATTTTTTCCGAAGATTTGACTCACGATTTAATGGTATATATTTTTTGAATAAATTTTATTTTTTCATAATTTTTTTATTCTATAACAAAAACTGAATTTAATAGTCCTTTCTCTTTAAAATCATGATTAGGCATAACAGCGTTATTAGATATCAAGTATGATTGAAAGCTAACTTGAAATGGTTCAATTTCACCGGTTAAATTTTTATCGATATTAACAAAAAATTATTAAAAGTTACTGCTACCGTAGATTTATTAACAATTAATTTATTATTTAATTTGAGATTTTTTGAAAAAGCATTCCTGTTGAAATTTTACTTACCGATTGCTTTCTTAATAATGCGCTAATGTTTTTTGTCAACCATTACTTTTTATTATTTGCTCTGCATTTACTATATATACTACTAAATTTGAATTGAAAATAACTAACTTAAAAAATGTTAACTTTTTTATAAAAGTTAACATTTTATCTATAGTAAATGTAGCTTATTTTATGTATATATATATATATATATATATATATATATATATATATATATATATATATATATATATATATATATATATATATATGTATATATATATATATATATATATATATATATATATATATATATATATATATATATATATATATATATATATATATATGTATATATATATATATATATATATATATATATATATATATATATATATATATATATATATATGTTTTGGACGTCTTCGTTCAAAAGATATCTTTTTATGGTCCGGTGCCCACTGGGGCACTAATAAACGTTAGTGTAATTTAGATAGCAACGAATAAAAGAAAAGTAAATAAAATACTAATAAGAAATAAAAGCTGTTCCAAGATCGATCCTTAGGGAACGCCACAGGTAATTGTCATGAAATTCGTTTTTTCCCCATCATATAAAATGCATTGCTTCCTATTTGTCGAATAACTCTTAAACCAAGCTAAGTTAAAATTTGCTATGCCACAATTTTTAGGTTTATATAGAAGGATATACTGATCTACGGTATGACACGCTTTTCTTAGATTAATAGGGACATCTAATTTAAATTTTTTTGTCATCAAAAACTTTAAATACTTTATGTACCAGATTAATGATTGCGTGATCGGTTGAATGACTAGATTTAAACACAAATAGTTTATTGTAAAGAATATTATTAACATTTAAGAAAGAATAAAGTCAATTAAACATATCACGCTCCAATATCTTGGAAAAACAGTTAAGAACAGAGTCTGAAGTATCACATCAGACAGATCACCTGATTTAAAAATTAATGTAACCTTTCCACTTTTTAGGTTTTCAGGAAAAACTCCATGTTTCAGAGATAAGATAAAAACGTGTAAAAGTGATATTGTTCTATACTTTATTGATATAAAAATGACATTACTGCTAATACCATCTAAACCTGAACTTTTGTTAGGTTTTAACAAAAACTGAATTTAATAGTCCTTTCTCTTTAAAATCATGATTAGGCATAACAGCGTTATTAGATATCAAGTATGATTGAAAGCTAACTTGAAATGGTTCAATTTCACCGGTTAAGTTTTTATCGACATTAACAAAAAATTATTAAAAGTTACTGCTACCGTAGATTTATTAACAATTAATTTATTATTTAATTTGAGATTTTTTGAAAAAGCATTCCTGTTGAAATTTTACTTATCGATTGCTTTCTTAATAATGCGCTAATGTTTTTTGTTAACCATTACTTTTCATTATTTGCTCTGATTAGTAAGTAGTTTTGAGGCGTCTCAAAATTGACTCAAATAAACGTTTATAATTTTTATAGTTAGTTTCATTTTCTAGTGTTCTTTTCTTAAGATATTTGCAATATAATTGCTATTTAATAATATAATGGATAATAATATAATAATATTTTGCTCAAAGATTTTATGCTAAAAGCATCTGATAGATTAATGTTGACAAATAAAAGGGTTCCAAATCTACCAAGAACCAATTTTTCAAACTTTCAGCTTTTTTCAAAGCGAAGTAAACGAAAATGCTAGAAAACTGATTATTGGTCATATTTTGATCTTTCTGAATATATTTACTTTGACATATTACATGATACATCATTATCTTCTTTAGGTTTACCACCACGGACTTAATTAACGATTATAATTTAGAAACAAAGTCATGATTTTTATCCTCACTATTCTTATAAAGTTATAAAGGTTAATCATGTATTTATATCTATTTAAAAATAACAGGATATTTTATTCTTAATGTGTTTTTTCCAACTTGTTTGTACATTTTCAAAAGATTTTTATACATACAAATTTTTTTATGGCCGTAAAAAGTAAAAAAAAACCAAGCTAAAGCAGTTAAAAGTCGTTATTATCGCGCTCAACATTTTCTTTTAAACAATTTAAAAGTGTCATCATCATTCAAGTAAGCAAAACTGAAAAAAACAAAAAAATTAAATCATAGTATTTGTAAAATTAAACAATACATAATAAATTTTTATACTAAGTTACGCATACGATTTCAAATGTAGCGAAGTACAATACTTTAAAAAAAAATACATAAGTAAAAGTAAAAGTACACATTTAAAAAAAAAAATTAAAAAGTAGAAATTCACAAAATAACCACTCAATTACAGTAACGTGAGTAAATGTAATTCGTTACTTTCCACCTCTGTATATATATATATATATATATATATATATATATATATATATATATATATATATATATATATATATATATATATATATATATATATATATATATATATATATATATATATATATATATATATATATATATATATATATATATATATATATATATATATATATATATATATATATATATATATATATATATATATATATATATATATATATATATATATATATATATATATATATATATATATATATATATATATATATATATATATATATATATATATATATATATATATATATATATATATATATATATATATATATATATATATATATATATGAGAAATTACACAAAAGTGAGAAAAACTACAAATATCTTTTTGAAAAAGTTCAAAAAAACTTAAAAAAAACATTACTATTCTATTCTTCTAAAGCAAAAATCTGAAGATCCGTTTCTAAAAATATAAAGCAAAAAATAAATGTAAACATCCAGAAAAATATAAGTAAAAAAAAAAAATTACCGGTAAATAAATCATGCTCAGGTTTCCACATGATTAAAATAATAATAATAAATATACAATAGTATATATTATTTTCAAACAATAGCTCACGAATTTAATAAAATCTTTATTATAATTGGTTCTAAACTTTTTAAAGTAATTACTAATATCCAAACCTCATTTAAAGATTTCTTAGTACGATGGATATGTGAGTACATGTGGTTAGTACATGTGAATGAATTGCATTGACTCACATGAGTTATTTGCTAAGTTATTATTTGATGAGTTTGAAAAGCCTTGAAAACGCTAAAAAAACAAACAAAAAAAAAACAAAACAATAATACGTAGTTGGATCTGATGAAGCCAACACTAACTTAACGATAAATTGCTTGAATAAATTATAGTTAAGTTACCTTTACAAAATTTAAATCATCAATGGGTTAATAAGTTTTTCCAGATCATTTTAAAACTGCTTAAGTTATTCCTCTATTCAAAGATGATGGCAGCTCTAAAATTAGTAATTACCGTCATATCTCTATAACATCTATATTTTTAAAAACACCTAATAGAATCATGTATCAAAAAGTATTTTATTGTTTTGATTTTAATAATCTCTTATTATGTGAATGATACAATCAAACGAAATTCAACCTATTTTTTGTCACACCTAGTACATATCTTTGAAACAAAATTGTTTTGCCTAACTTACCCCTTACTTATCCTGTTTTTAAAACTAAGTTAAAAGATTTTATTCTCTCTATTAAAAATAAATTTAAATACTTTTAATTAATTTATCTTATGAAAAAATAATGTTTTATTTTTTTAACTTGGTATGTTCAATTTTTATTTATAATTGAGTACAATTTATATTCGTATATTTGAGTGCGATTTATTGTTTTTATGTTGCTTTTAAGTACTCTCTCTTGTAAAAACACGCTTTTATATTAATTTGCGTACCCATGCTTGTAAAAGGCTTCTCACGATTTAACTTTACAAATATAATTTTGAGAAGTTTGTTTATTGAGTGAGGGATTTTCATACGTGGAGCGCTTCCTTTACCTTTTGTTTGATTGGTATCCAAATGTTTGATTGGTATCCAAACCTGAATTGAAACATGATTAGATTGATTTTTACACTTAACTAATGCATTTAAATATAAATACTTATCAGTTTTAATGTGTTTATCAATCCCTGTTTTCAAATATCTGTCTCCGATATAACTGGCATTACAGCCAGCGCAATTTTTAGACAACATGAGAGTAGCTTGAAAAATAGATCTTTTTTTTTCTTTCATTAAACAGCTTCATAAGAGTATTTTTATGGATTGCACAATTGTACAGATGTAAAATTTTTAGCCATTTTTAAAAATGTGTTTTTTAAGAGCAGCTAAAAAAACACTCTTGAAAAAACAAACGTTTTTGAAAAAGTTCGCGGTGTTGAAAAAAAGTTACGTTAAATACTTTAAATTTACAGAAACTTAATTTTTAAACAAAAAGAAACTTAAAAACAAATTTTTTTTAATATAAGGCATATGAGACTTTGCTTGTTGATAAACTGATTAAGTAATACCATATTGTAGGGCTACTTCAGGCAGTGGCTAACTTTGTAGAATAAAATGACATAATCACAGTTTTTGCATATGAAACCTAATACTATAAAGATAATTTATATAGAATAACTGTGTGAAGGTTATGAATATACAGCCTTGGGGTCTAAAGTAAACCCACCGTAAGAAGTAATCCGTTCTTTGATAACGGTACAATAAAAACGTCTTATAAGTATAAAAAAGTTTACTATCTTCTCTTCATTAGAGGCACCGTCAGCTATTATTTCATCATTACTCCATTAAGTGTTACTTCACCGATGATACAGTCAACTGTTATTTTATTTTGCATCAACTAATTAATGGACAAAATTTTGTTCATTAATTATTAACAGACAGACATTAATTAGAACAGTTTTTCATTCATTATCGCATTTCTAGTTTTACCTTTTTTTTATTTTGCTTGAAAAATGAAACCTTCATTAACATAAAAATAACTTATGCTTAAATATAAGTTTTCAATATTTTTCAATTTTTTATAAAATAAAAACAATTATTTTTCTTAAATGACGATATTAAACTTGTATGAAAATGGTCTATTATTTTCATTGACATATTTTTACTCAAGTAACTTTTATATCTGGTGTCGCGTTACTATATATTGGTTTTCCGTTATTTCTTTTACTTAAGTTGGCAACTTGAAGTGGTAATAAAAATTTATGTGTATACGAATTAATTTGTAAAAAAAGAAATTGCTTGAAAACATTTCATTTGAGTTTCGGCACGTATCGTAATTTTTTTCAATACGCCGTTATTTTACATAATATGTAAAATAACGGCGTATTGAAAAAAAATAGTATATTATACTATTTTTGTTGTATTTAGAACTTTGAGCAAGCCAATTTTCTTTAAAATGTTCTCTTTAGTAAACAAACAATCCATTTCTTATCTCTTGTTGAACTCCACGTGACTTTTTGTTCCGGCTTTGTAAGATGGCGCGTGAAAACAATACATTTATAATCTAACAAAAAACAATCAAAACAAATCTATTGTGAACAAACGAAACGTATATAGTTCACCAATTGTATTATCAATCAATTTTATTTGCAAAGAGAATTGTCAGAATAAAACAAAAACTCTAAACGAAGAAAACAACAAATGATGGCAGCCTCTGAAACAAATTCAAACTTCGCAACACATGTGATACAAAATAATAATATTACACATGCAGTTTCTCAAGAACAAAGAAAAGGTGAAGGCTATGGTTCTACAACAATTTCACTATCTGAAGCTGCTCAGTGTCTTAAAAATTTGGGTGAAGAAGGTATATTGTGTGACGATGCTTTACTTCGCCTTACAATGTCAAGTACATCTGAACACGGAGAAACTGAATTTCTAGATGCAAAAAATAGTCGTGTTAAACGTCCCATGAATAGTTTTATGGTTTGGGCTCAAACAGCTAGAAAAAAACTTGCTGAGAAATATCCTCATCTTCACAATGCTCATTTGAGTAAAATGCTTGGTAAATTATGGAAAATGTTGTCACCTGATGAAAAACAGCCTTACGTGTTAGAGGCATCACGGTTTGTTATACTTGTTATGCTTTGTTCTTAAACGTATTAGATTGAATATAAAAATTTAAAATATTAGATTGAGTATAAAATTTTTTTTATTAAATAAAATACAAATAACAAATGAGTCATTAACAGTATTAAGAAATTTAGTTAAAAATAAAAATAGAGTGAATTTTTTTATAATTTTTTTTTGTTTATGAAAAGTAAGAAAGTGTAAGAAAACTCGTTCTACTGAAAATTTTTTTTACTTTCGTTGAGTCGGAAAGAATTTTCACTAGGTTTTGCTATCATACTTTTCTGTCTAATTATTATTTTTAAAAGAAGGTTTTGTTTAAAGTTGAGGACATGTTAAAGATTTTTTTCTGACTACATTGAATTTTAAAATGCAACAATAAGTTTTTCACCTTCAAATTAAAATTTCAGTTTTTGAGGTAAATTTTTTGAAAAACAAACATTTAAGAGATGTGTTTAGTTTCTGGATTTGTTTGACCAGCTTTTAAAGAAAAAAAAGTTGCTTTGACTAAGAATGGTTATTAAATAAACAAATATCTTGTTTCCAAATCTGAAATTTGCAACTCCATGTTTGGCAAAAGATTAAAACGGTTTGTTTCATCAGGAATATCTTTAAAGAAAGGTTTAGAAAACTCCGTTAGTTGTTGCCTAGAATTTTAATTTCTTCAAATAAGCACTAAGTAAAATCTCTAAAAGAAAGTTTACAAAATCAAGAATATTTTCATTTTCTGAAACAGGATTGGCGCATTAATATGATTCTGATTTTAAAAAATTGACGCTTTTTATAACAGTTAAGTTATTCATTCTTAGTGCTAAAATAGTATATGGTCTTTCAACTTCAAATGCTTATTTTTGCCGTATCAGAAGCTAAAGTTTTTGCTGCTTTTGAAACTCGTCCTCGTATTGAAGATGTTTACTTGTACTTTTAACAGTGCGATGATTGAATGTGCTATTCCTCAAAATTTGGGCTGCCAACAATGCTGACACACTTTTATTGGGCTCTGCATAATGTATTACTTTATGTATAGCTCAATATACTAGCTACAAGACTATTCTATTGGCTATTATTCTAGCTACCACACAACAATATTCTAGGCTATTCTAGTTAATATATAACAATGCTTAGCCAGCATTCCTAGAGCTGTTCAGTTTGTCAAAAGAGCAGAATCTTGCCCATCAGATGAGCAAGATTAATTTAATAGTACTAAAGTACAAATAAAACTGTCAATAACTCTCTTTAACCATTAAATAACTCTCTTGACCATTATAAGATATTATATTGACAATAGTTTTAGTTTTGTTAATCTTGTTTTTTTTTAAATATATATATATATATATATATATATATATTATTTTTTCAAAATTTTCATATTTTCAAATTAAGATATTATATTGACAATAAATATAAGATATTATATTGACAATAATTTTAGTTTTGTTAATCTTGTTTTTAAATATATATATATATATATATATATATATATATATATATATATATATATATATATATATATATATATATATATATATATATATATATATATATATATATATATATATATATATATATATATATATATATATATATATATATATGTATATATATATATATATATATATATATATATATATATATATATATTATTTTTTCAAAATTTTCATATTTTCAAATTCACAAAATATATATATATATATATATATATATATATATATATATATATATATATATATATATATATATATATATTATTTTTTCAAAATTTTCATATTTTCAAATTCACAAAGGCTGAAAACAACCACTATTAAAGTTGGAAATTACTGGAAGAGATAAGATGAAGTTTATAGAGCAAGATAATGATTGACAGACCACTTACTAAATTAAATATTATATGAATCAAAACAAGATGAAAGGAGCAAACTCCAATGAACTGATGTTCAAGTAAAAAAACTAGACAAATAAGAATTTTTGGAGCACTTAAGAACAGTAAAATAATGAGACTTAATTGAATCACAAGTAACACAAGAATGAATTTTAGTAGATGGTGAAGGAGTCTTTAGCTCTTTAGAGCAGTGCCCATTATAGTATTTAAAGAAAAGAGAAAGAGAAGCAGTTTTATGATGATGTGATAATGGTTGGAGGTTTGCTGCAAGAGCAGGTCCAACTATGTTTACAATGTGTTTTTGCACCTTGTCTAAAAGAGAAACGGCATTAGAGAACCGCCCCAGATATAACAACAGTATTCCATACAAAGACAGATTTGAGATATATAGAGATAAAGAATAGAATCTGGAGTGAGAAAGTGGCGAGTATGATAAAGAGATGAGCATGATAAAGAGATGCAACCTTAGCAAATGCTAATTTTGCAATGGATTTGATATATGGTTTCCAAGAAAGAGCAGAAGTAAGAGTTAATTCTAGAAGATGAAGAGTTGGATGACTAATTGAGTACATTACTCTTCATAAGTATAGGAATATCTAGACTACTGCAATAACGATTAGCTGAAAAAAATTGAGTTTTAACTGAGTTAAAGTTCACAAGCCACTGAGAGCCCCATGCTGTAGCAGAAGCGAGATTCTTTTTAAGCTCAAATGCCCCCTCCAAGCAATAGAGTGTCTTGGCTTCTTATCAAGACAAGAATAAATGGTAAATCATTAGCGAACAAGGCCATCTAGGTGTGAGAGTCTCTGGAAGATCGTTAATGTAAATTTGAAAGAGTATAAGGCCAAGGATAGAACTTTGAGGAAGCCCTAAAGTTATAGTATAGTGAAGAAGAGTGCTGTCCATGGAGGACAACTTTTAAACTACAATTGGTAAGGAAGGATTCAATAATCTTAAACATGTTACCTGATACACCGCAAGAAGAAGGCTTATGGAGAAGAACAGCATGCCAAACTTTATCAAAAGCTTTAGAAATGTCAAGAGCAACAGCCTTAACCTCTCCATATCGTTATATGAGGAAAACCATGGAGAAAAGTGAAGCTTGACATAGAATTGTTGAGAAGGAATAAAAGATTCCATGCCAGTCTGAATCCAAGAAGTTATGTGAGAAGCACAATTGTCATCAGGAAGACAAAATATTTCTACCCAAGGGCCATCACAAAGAAAATCATGAAAAGAGTCCCAGTTAGCTATAAGGTAGCTGCAAGAGGTACATATGATGATACAAGATGATAGGGGTATTCTGATGATAAAGAAGAATGAGATAATATTTTCAGAGAGATCAAACCGTGATCAGAAGCACTTAAGGGTGAATGTGGAAAAACTGAGCAATGACTAGGATCAGAAACAAGACATATGTCGAGTAGAGAAGATAAATGATTAGGATTGTCTGGAAAGTGTGTTGGAAAAGTGACTATTTGAGTTAGAGATTGAGAAAGGCACAAGTTAAGGGCCTCAATGCCTGCAGAGTCACTGATACTTGAGCCAAGTCATTCAGTGTAATGAGTATTAAAGTCACAAACAACAATGATATTTGCTGAAGGATAGAGAGAGAGGGCTTGGTCAATTTGATCAGAAATAACACTGAAAGGAGTGCAGTCTTGAGTTGAATGAAAGCAATATAGAACAAAGAGAAAGGTGATAGAATGAAGTGGTGCTAAACAAAAGCACATAAAAGAATAGTCTGTGGATTCAAACCAAGTTTCCTGATAATTGGGTGAATTCTTATGAGTGTAAATGCCCAGGCCAAGCATGTGACTATTGAGATCTTTATAAATTATAGGAAGATAACCATCAACACTAAGATCACAAGATATATAACTTAGAGATTCATAAGCTTTTATAAATCTTTAAGCTTTTTTTGTTGTTGACTATTTTATCTCAAAGAGAAATTAAATTTTAATTTTTAATTCATTATATCTATCTTGATTTATTTTATTTTGTAATTTTTTTTTATAATTGGCTTTATAAAAACTTCAATTATTATTACTATTTTTATTGTTATTGATATTATTATTATTTATTATTATTTTTATTATTATTACTATTGTTATTACTATTATTTATATTTTATATTATTATTACTATTGTTATTATTAATATTTTTGTTATTATTATTACTATTGTTATTATTTTTTATATTATTATTACTATTACTGTTGTTATCATTTTAATGGTATACTTAATTGACAAAATTAATTGATATTTTTATAAATAACATTTAAATATAACAGATGTTCATTAAGTTTTTGAACTAACTTTAAAAAATTCTTACTTATTTTTCAAGAAAATATATGTTGAATTAAGTAAATTGAGTAAATACTGTTCTTTTCATATTTTCAATAAAATTATTGTCTTATAAAATTAATTCTTTTTCTAACATCTTCAATAAAGCTCTGTATTGATGCTTTTATGAGGCATTTTTGTATTTTTCGACAAAATTGATGTAATGATTTATCTTTCCAGCTATTCTCATACTTTCCTTTTCAGTATAGATCAAAAGTCCTCAATGGGTCAAGTCTCTGCCAAAATGACAGGGTTGTTTTTTTTATTGACATGGTCAATGGAATTTTCAATCATGTAGGCTAAAACAGATACTGCATTATGTAAGCTTGCAAGATCTGGCCAAAATGTATAATTGTCACTTGAATGACGCTTTTGAATGAAAAGAAACCTAACAGTCAAACACTCATCTCTATATATTTTCTGAGTGATTGCATTCCCACTCTTGACGATGTAAAATTTGAATATTTCATGAGACAAAGCTAGTTAAATAAGGATTTTTTTTTTCGAACTTTTATTTTAAACTTTTTGTTTTGTTTTACATTTTATTTTTAACTTTACTTTGGGTGACTTCAATTTTACTTTAGCTGATTTCAGTTATACTTCGGCTGAGTTAAATAACTTTTATCATCCATTATTCATTTGCAATTTTTTAAAATAGCATTGCACAATTTGTCATAGCCGCTTTTATTTGAGTTTTTGTTTAACCAGGAATGGCTTGCTTCTTCTAGCAATGTATCAAGAGATTAGTTTTCTGCTTATTAATATAAGATA